TAATTTTTCTTGTATTTCTTTGAGGTCAAACATAGCTTATATTTATTAGTTTTATATGTATTTACATTTATATAATCATCATTCAGAATTGAATTTTTTTATTATTAATATTACAATACATTTAATTATTATGATACGAGTATATACAATTATTCGTTCGTAGTAGCACATCGATTACAGATAATCAATGTGTCCACATTGCGACATATTTATTACGTGTTTTGTTCTGTATCATCGAGTAGTGAAAATTCTCAATAGATTATTTATTTTTAAAACTTAATTGAACAGTCGGTGGCAGATCCACTTAATTCCAATCCCACAATATTATATTGATTATAACATTGCATTTACGATAAAAGGATATTAAAAAAAAAAATACAAGTCCAAAAAAAAATTATATCGTTACAAGTCGCGTGGGGGTAAATATGACGCATTTCAATTTTGATGAATATTTTAAGTTTTAAGTATTTTCGAAGGTATTTATTTATGAAAATCGATTCAATATTACTGTAAAAACCATCTTTTAAATTTATATCTATGTACACCTTTTATGCAATATAATATAACCGTTTTTATTTATGTGGGGGTATGCTAGACCCCCACGTGACTGTTTAAGGGTTAAGATTAAATAAAATTGTCAATATTTCCGGAACATTTTCGAAAATAAAATTGATAAAGCTTAACTTGAGTGCAAAAATTGATTTTTTGAATTTCTCCTGTAGGCAGGTTTAGAGTCAGATTTTTTAAAATATTATATCAAATGAAAGATAAATATCTAAAGATTGAATATAAAAAAAATTATTTTAATTTTTTAATTTTTCAAAAAGTTATGGTAGTTTTCAGTATTAAAATATTTCATGTTAAACAGTGATTTTTACATAAAAATGAAGAAAAGGTGTCGGGACAAATTTTTAGGAATATGTTATAAATATAAACAACGGAATATGCGATGACGCGTGGCGTTTGGATAGTTACAAACATACATGTATTCATACATACAGGTGAAACTAATATAAGCGTGTTAAAAATACCTGTATAGAAAATACAAGAGAAAATAGACTTTTAGCTTTGATATGATGCCAAGAAAGTATTAGTTTAACAATTATTACATTTGTGAAATTTTAAACTTATAGTTTATATTAAAAAATNCCCACAATATTATATTGATTATAACATTGCATTTACGATAAAAGGATATTAAAAAAAAAAATACAAGTCCAAAAAAAAATTATATCGTTACAAGTCGCGTGGGGGTAAATATGACGCATTTCAATTTTGATGAATATTTTAAGTTTTAAGTATTTTCGAAGGTATTTATTTATGAAAATCGATTCAATATTACTGTAAAAACCATCTTTTAAATTTATATCTATGTACACCTTTTATGCAATATAATATAACCGTTTTTATTTATGTGGGGGTATGCTAGACCCCCACGTGACTGTTTAAGGGTTAAGATTAAATAAAATTGTCAATATTTCCGGAACATTTTCGAAAATAAAATTGATAAAGCTTAACTTGAGTGCAAAAATTGATTTTTTGAATTTCTCCTGTAGGCAGGTTTAGAGTCAGATTTTTTAAAATATTATATCAAATGAAAGATAAATATCTAAAGATTGAATATAAAAAAAATTATTTTAATTTTTTAATTTTTCAAAAAGTTATGGTAGTTTTCAGTATTAAAATATTTCATGTTAAACAGTGATTTTTACATAAAAATGAAGAAAAGGTGTCGGGACAAATTTTTAGGAATATGTTATAAATATAAACAACGGAATATGCGATGACGCGTGGCGTTTGGATAGTTACAAACATACATGTATTCATACATACAGGTGAAACTAATATAAGCGTGTTAAAAATACCTGTATAGAAAATACAAGAGAAAATAGACTTTTAGCTTTGATATGATGCCAAGAAAGTATTAGTTTAACAATTATTACATTTGTGAAATTTTAAACTTATAGTTTATATTAAAAAATATATTAGATTTTCATTTTTATACCTGTCACTAAAAATTCTCATAACCATATTGTCAAATTCTATATAAAAAACCTTGAATTATATCTAGTTGAATGCATTTCCTTTAAAATTTGAAGAAAAATAACTCATTTTAGCTTCAATGCGAAGCTGAGAAGGTATTAATTTTATCATGATGTGTTTTTTTTTTTTTTATGTCTGTTTTCTCAGCTCTCACTGGACCGATTTCTTTCAACAATACGTCAAAAGATCACAAATCGTATCTAGTTGAAGACATTACCCTTAAAAATTTAAAAATGTTGTCATTTTTTTCACTTTTTTTTCTTAAAACTACCATAGATTTTTCAAAAATCAACAAATCAATATAATTTTTTTTTATACTAAAACCTTAGATATTTCCCTTTCATTTGATATAATTTTTTTTGAGAATCTAACAATTATTCTGCTCACAGGGGGGGATTTGAAATAGCAACTTATTTACAAAAACTAATTTTTTCAACTTAACTTTTAAAAATGTTCCGGAAATACTGCGTCCTTTCAACATATATAAAATTAAAGCTTATGTCATGTACTATAAAATTAAAAAAAAAAATTTGTCCCGACGACCTATCTTTTATGCGCAAATGGCTACCGTATTTAAAAATATGCTATTTTTGTGTTAAAATCTTGGGTTTTATATTTTAAAATATCTTATAAGGGTAATATACTGACTTTCATGAATATTATATAATTGAATTGATATACAATAAAGTTCATAAGACATAAGAAATTAAACTTATTTTAATTTTTTTGCTTTTTTAAAGTCGAAAAAGTAACTTTTAAATAGCTAATTTTATCGTGCGACGAAAGTAACGAATAGTTGCCGAATCGATAACTCTTGTGTTTTTCAAGATTAGGGGTTTTTTTTTTGAGTTAGAAAACAATTTTAAATAATTTGATTTTTATCTCATTTAGATTCAATAATTTCAATAATTATCGAGGATCCCATCACTGTAGTCTCCCCTCGTGAGAAGAAATTTCTTATTCGTGTTGATATTATTTTACTATGTTGTTTTACTTGTGGCTGCGATTAATTTTCTAACCCTCACTTGATCTACTTTTTTCAACAATACGACAAATGATTACAATTCATATTTAATTAAAGATATTACCCTCAAAAATTGAAAAAATCCCTTAATCAAGCAATGAGTAGATCTTTTTAACAACTTTTTTTTTATTGGTTTTTTTAGTTAAAGTAAACCATTGAAATTAATTCAGTTCTGCATACTTCAATTATATAATCTTTTTAAACATCAAAAGTTAATTAGAAATGATTACTATGATTTCTATTTAAATGATCTATTACGATAAAATTAAAAAAAAATATTGAGCTTTTCTGATAAATTTACAGTAAATAGTAATTATACAAATTCCTGACTGCATATTAATCTTAACAATACTACTTTTTTTATTCTCATAAAATTTTCTATTTAATAATATAAATTTCAAACTTGAAGTTGAGCTCAAAATTATAGTAACAAATTCACTTTTTTTTTTTATAACAAACATTCAAAAATTCAACTTTGAAATACCAAAAAAATAGGTTAAAAATTATGAATTTTGCACTGATTGTTTTTAAAATATTAAAAATCAAAATCTGTAATTATTTAAAAACAATTTATTGTGTTTTTAATTATTTTTTTATCGTAATAAATCATAACCTTAGAAATATTTTGCCAACCCTCACTTGACCTACTTTTATCAACGATACGTCAAATTATTACAATTCGTCTTTAGTTGAAAATATTACCCTCAAAAATTGAAGAAAAAAAAATCCCTTAATCAAATATCAAGTAGCTTAACCAGCTTTATCCATACAAACAATTAAAATCATTAATTTCTAATATTTTTAAAGTATATTGTCGAATTAGATTTGATATTATATAATTAAATATAATTTTACTTTAAAATTTATTAATTTTCTTACTTTATTTGTGTGTGCTACTACCAGTCTATAACATTCCAAATTTTTTCTTAACATGTTGCTATATAAATCATAAATCTAAAAAAAAAATGATTTTTAGTTTCACCTGAATTTAACAATGGATGAAATAAAAAATTTACTGTAAATAGTAATTATAAAATTTCCTGGTTGCATATTAATCTTAAGAATACCATTTTTTCTATTTAATGATGTCAATTTCAAACTTGCAAATTGAGCTTAAAAAGTTAAGTTATGGTAATAAATTCATTTTTTTTTTATTATTAACTTTCACTTTAAAATACAAAAAAAAGTAGGTTAAAAATTATTTCTTTTAACATATTAAAAATCAATAATAATTTGAAAACAATTAATTATAAAAATTATATAATATATAAGTAAAAAAATTACTAATCTGGATATAATTAAGGAAATAGAAATTAATGTTGCTTTTGTAATTATCCACCAATTTCTTAGAATTAAATACTATCTGCAGATTTGCATCGAAGCGTTTCTTATGTTAGTGTTTTTTATCACTGTCAGATTAAATCTATACTGCACCCAACTATGCCACGTCTCCACTGTGACGCGACCCCACTGTGCTTGGTTTTTTAAAATTAAAAATATGGTAAAAGATTGTAATTTCTAAATTGGCAGATATAAAAAGTATGGGATATTAGAATTTCATAGTTTTAACATCAAATTGGTATAGTTAAAAATAAACGAACCTAATAAATAGTCTAAATTAAGCAAGAATGCAAATCAACCAAATTTTTAAAGATTATTTTTTCTTATATCCTAATTTTTTTTTATATAATAATATATAAATTACTAAATTTGTTGGGGTGCTAATACTCTTAAGTATCTCCTCAAACTGTCCACATGACATAAGAGTAAAGAATGTTTAAATGTATCAATATTAAAACTGAATTTTAAATGGCCGACTAAATGCTCAAAAATTTTCATTGATGACTTTTTCCTTTTTATTTTCAAAAAATTATATTTTTGAGAAAAATAAATCATTTTCGTGGGTCACAAAAAAAATTAATGTACAGTAATTACATTATGTTATATATATAACATTTCATAATTTAATGATTATTAATAGTACCAGTAGCTTAGGAAAATAAGAAAAATAATTAAACCCCCAATTATACAAAGTTTTTACTTGTTCAAATTATTATAAAAATAACTGGTTGTGATATTATGTATTAAAATCTGTTTTTATGTAATTTTCACCTACACTCTTGATAGTACTGTATCGGAGAATAATGAATTATGAACTATTTCATCATTTTCTTATACCTAAAGTGTGTAGCGTTCCTATATTTGCGCCAATATTAAATAATTAAGTCCATCTTAACCATTTTTGAACTCTTTTAGTAATACAAAGACATAATATACATAAATCTTAACGTGTTATTTAAATAAAATTTGAAATTATAATTTCAGATTACAAAGAGCTTATACAAAAGATAGTCGCGATATTTTAAAAATGTCTATGATATAATGATTGATAAGTTGGTGAACGTGGTGTCGTCGATGGGTATGGCGGATAAGGTGTACGCTTGTAGAGAAGTTTGTATGATGGTTTATATGGTTTGTAAGATTGTGGAAATTGATAAGAAGGTTTATATGGTGTTGTTGATGGATATACATTTAATGGTTGGAACTTAGCGTATGGTGTTGTAGGAGTTTTGATTTCTGGCCTCAGAACAGATACAGATGGTTGGCCTTCTTTGGTGACAACTGCGTTGAACCCGTTTCGGTCGTCGGCTGTGTAATCTACTATGCGTTTGGTACCGTCCGGTTCCATTACGGTGTACTGACCTCTTACAACATCGCCGTCTCGTTCTTCAGTGTGAGTTTTGAAGTCTCCGGTGTTCACATCAGCCACATTATAAGCGAAGTTATATTTTGGACGAGTCACGGACGCATCGTCGAAATAATGTTTTGAAGTGTATTCAGGATATAGCTTATAAGGAAGTGTAGCAAACCCGTAAGAAGATACCGGAATGGTTGAACTTAAAACTAGTAAACCAGCGAGCATTACCAACTGAAAAATAAAACATGATAATGATAACATTAATTTCTGTATACATTTTAAATTCGAAAACATAAACATAATTACGATTAAAAATTTGAGAAGAAAAAATAAATATCTTTAAAAAAATTAATCAATTTCTTTATGATTTACATAAAAGCAATTACAGTAGAACTCCAATTATCCGAATTAATGGGGACCGGGACCCATTCACTGACTAATCAAAATAAACAATGACAGGTGACTGCAATGCGCCGGAACTGGATTGGGAACTCTTACCACGTGTTGTGCCTACACTGACGCCGCGGACTTAGGACAAATTTTTTTCTGATTTTTTCTGAAAGTGATTCGGATAATCGGCGATTCGGATGATCGAAGTTCGGATAATTGGAGTTCTACTGTAAGTACTATTAATTATAATAATTACAGAGCCAGAAAATAGACTTAGATGGTTTGGTCGTGTTATGAAGATTTGGAAGCTATAAAAACAGTTATGGAAATGAATGTTAAAAAAAGAAAAGATTGAGGAAGACCAAAAAAGTGATGGAGAGATGTTATTGAATGTAATATGGGGAAGGTTGATGTGTGCGTAGATGATATGAAAGATCGTGTCGAGTGGAAGTTTAGGATAAGGGTGGTCGATCCCAAGTAGTTGGAAAAAAAAGAAAGAAAAAATTATAATAATTATATTTTTGTCATAGATAACAATTTTATATAAAATTTGGGCAACTAAAAATTGGTAATATAAGCATTAAGAAAAAAATTAATGAAATCATAATTAATTATTAAAAACAATTTTTATTATTAAGAATCCCTTGATGCAATTATAGCAGTGGCGAACTTATGGTGATGGAGTTGGGTTGGTAATCATTACTATTTAACATTTTTATAAATAACGTACCTTAAGAATCATTTCTCTTGTAAATTATGTACTTCGGCTTGAAAAATCTATTAGAGTTATAATCTTATTTGGTTTTTGTTCACTGAAAGAGAGCGACGTATTGATTCTAACATATATATATCCTTAAAATACAGATAGATCAGGGAAAGGGAAATACAAAATAACATTCGCCTTGGACCCAGTCAAAAACTTAAATTATTCTTTATAATTGATCCAGATTCGTGAATGCTTTATCTTTATACTACCTTTACCCTTTAAAAAATTATCAAACATCGTGAGAACGGTCCTTATTAACACTCCTAGTACACCTGAATTGATTGATAATATTACGTAAGTTTATTTTCAATTTTTTTTTATAGTTATTGTATTTTAAGTCATATTCAGAATACTACTTGTTTATTTTATTTTTTACTTTTTTATGTGGTTTTTTATCAGTTATTTTTAATCAAGCATTAATTTTTTTTTTTTTTTTGAAGAGTGCGATAATAATTATTCTCTTAAAATGTAGATACATTTATGATACGTTATTTTTTTACAGTAAACGACACTATTTTTTAAATTTTTGTCGAAATAATTTTTTTTATAACATGTGAAAGTAATTTCATATTTTTAAAGTTCTTTCATGAAAATTTGTCAGATTTTCTTTAATGTTTTTTTTTGTTTAAACCAAATATGTATAGAATATATTATATAAATAAATAAAGAACACTTTTGACCGCATAACTGTGTTATGTTAAGTTGATAAATTTATTATAAATAAATCTATGATTCTTATCCAAAAGCTGTTATATTACAAAAATAATTTTTTAAGATTTTTATAATTTATATTGATGAATAGGTTATCTATCATGTATTAAAAAATTATAAGTCAAAGATATAAAAGTTGCCATAGTTTAACTTGATTATTTGATATTTTTTTCTAATTATTTGCCTTATTAAATAAGTATTTACAAAAGAATATGAGTTGTCCCGGAACGCCTGGCAAATGTGAAATATCGAAACTATTTTGTGTATAAAATATGCAGATGGTTTATTAAAGAAAGTTAAATATTCTTAATAATTTAGAAGGCTCAATGCTTTTAATTAGTTATTTCTATGATAGTACTTTTTGATGTTGCTTACTGTATTACTGTACACAATTGGTCGATGATTTTCTCATAAAGATATATGAATATAATCTATTTTGAATATAATAAATCATTCTTATTTGGAAATTTTTGGCAATGTCCTTCTACAAAGCGGAAAAAAATGACATATAAAATTTAAACTAGCCTTTTTTTCCATCAGGCACAGCGCACTATTGCTGGATTGGTACAACGTACGGTTTGTGTAGAGTCATAGATTCATATTCCATAGGGTGAGGTGTTTTTTTTTAATTTGTCAAAATTACTTTACATAATTATAAAATAAAGAAATTATACCTGAATTTTAATATGCAGTTTAATTTTTAATTTTAATATAAAAGTATTGGTTTTATTAATATTTGTTTAATTGGTCGATCTTTCAAAAAATATAGAATGATTCATATCCGTTAAAAATAATTCTAAAAATCCATGAAGTACAAATTTTTACGAAAAAGTTTTTATGAACATTTCTCACAAAGTATACACGCACTCGTGTACAGTGTACATTGCACACATATGAATGCTCACATTAATTATAAAATATGATTAAATTATTCTTGACTTTAATCACCTTATTGATGTGTAGCCGGTGTCAAATTCTATATGGATTGTATGACAAACATATTTTTATTGACACATCACTACCTCAGTAACGTTATTAATATTATATATTTTTGGGTCAGTTTAAACTGCAAAAAAAAAATGATCGTCCAAATTTTTTTCAACTTTCATGAGGTATAAAGAAAATTTAAATGAAACAAATTTATTTTCTTTAAATTTATGTTATTGAAAAAAATACTTTAATTTTTAGCTGAAAATTCAAAATGAATTAATTAATAAAAATAGTTGTTACTAAAATCACTAGTAGGCCACGGGCCATTTATTCTATTGAAAGAAAAATATTTCCATGTATGAAAAATATCTTCACGACAACTGATTTAATCGCTATAGTGCAAAAACAAATTGACTGCCTTTAGAAATTTATATATATATATATTTGGTGTCAACTTACTTTGCGTGGCTGCTCACACCTTGTACACTTACGTCGATTATTTAGTGTATTAAATAAAAATATATTAATATCTAGACTTAGCTTATGTTTGGGTCCTCGTCATATAATTTCTATTTCACTTAAGAATTTATCAGAGTTGATTTAAGATGGATGCATTAGTGGGGCTCTGGGGTCTTTTTTGAATTTATATGGCCTGTCATGATATATTTTAAATAATAATGATCTTTTTTTTACTCAACTTTATTTTATGGGATTGATATTATTTTCTCAAAATACCACCATAGGGTCTATATAGTTCTTTATCCGACCCGGGAGCCTATAATTTATACGCCCCTATATGGGAAATATCATTGGACATTGATATGATAAATAATTTTTATTCTTAAGTCTACGCTTAAGAAATATTATAACTGTACATGTCTCACAATTAAACAAAAATTGGGTTTTTTGAATATTTTACTAAATTTTTAATCTAATTTTGACTGACGTTAACTACACATTCTAGATCAAAATAACATTATGTAAAATCTAGATGATTACACACACCAATTTTATGTTAGTTTGGATAGCTGATTAAAAATTATAATGGTTTAAAAACCAGTGCTTGGGGGTATTCATGAGTTACGCCTTTTTTACACGATTTTTTAAATTTATCATTTAAAATGACTCAACTGTCACGTGCTTTAGGTTAATTATTTTATGCGGTTTAAATCAACAATACGAACATAATGTTAATGAAAAATCGTGATAAAAACATAATAACTGAAAGAATTTGTTTTTTTTTTAAGAATTAAAAATTAAATTTTGTGCTATGGTAATATTTTGTTAAAAATAATTATTTTCGTTAATGTTCATATTCACGCTTTTGTTATGTTTAAATTTATAAATCATTGGTATTAAAATATTTTTTATACTTATTTTTTTTATAAAATTTTACTTCTTTAAAGAAATAAAAATGTATTGTATCATTATGTTACTAACAATTGTTAGTAATAACTAAAATATTTTATTAATTAATGAATTTTTTGATTTATGAAATGAGCAGTAATTAAAAAACATTTTAAAAATATGATTGCAATTTATTTATACCTCTTTTTTCTGCTATATTATGAATTGATGTTATTAATGATGTCGATGTCAAATTTTATGTGTTGCATGATAAAAAATTTTTATCATGTGTTGTAAGACACCACAACCTCCAAATTTTGTATAGCTGTTTTTTGTTCATTACTCACAACTTAGGTATCTTTTTCATGAAATTACGAACATTCATTAGAATTAGCATGTTTCTCTCTACGATACCATCCATTTTATACATGTATTACAACAGCAAAACATCTATATAGAAATCGGCGCCACTGATGCAATTAATAATATTATCAGAATTAATTATACTATTTTGATGGAAAACATATTAGTTTGGGTTTAAGAAATGATTAAATAATAATTTATGTAAATAAGTTTTGATTAATTACTGAAGAAGTGTTCACTATGACATACTTCATAATAAATATAAGTTTTCTTAACTATGGGGCACATAACTTTTGATTATGCAACGTAAAAACTTAGGTAAACCATAAGTTCTTTATGAATGACATAAATAATTTTTGAATTACATTACACATGAGCTTTATTATGTAAAATATTAGATCAGGATTGTGCATACGGGCACTAGTGTTCATCCAATTATCCAACTCTTTCCTACGTATAGATATAATGATTTTGCTAGACGCATATATGTGCAACTTATATAACGCAATTGATTTTGACTTAAGTTTCAAAATTTTTTAATTCACATGATTTCAATGAGATACAATGAAATGTGGTAGAAAGATAATTATAAAAATGTGACCCTCGAATTTGTGTTACCATATAGCTCGTGTAGATAAAATTAACGTCCATACTTAGTTTACTTGCGACTATAGAGCTTCAGTGTTATCGAGTCAAATTAGCCTTATGTAATATGTTCACAAAGCTTACTATATAAAGTATACTAGAAATATAAAATTATAAATATATGAAAATCGAACAACCTATTTCAATGATCTAGTTTGGAAATTTGGTAAGATGGTCATTCTTAAACCAATTAGATAAAGCGTATTTTTACTCTTAGGTTCAGTATCAAGGTAAATTCTGAAAAACCCAAAAAATATTTCATCATCAAAAAAACTAAGAACAATCTGTAATGGTAATTACATAGGTTTATTTAAATCAAAGTTATGTCCTAATTTATTTACTATTACGTAATTCGGTATATTTCTTAACGTTTATTATTAAAATTAAACTAATAACGAATTTTAGGTTTTTAATCAAAAATAAAATTCGCGTTAAATAATTAAATTAAGTAATGAATTAATTACCCATGAACTTCAACAATGTAAAGAAAGTTTAAAATAAAGTATTCCCTGTGTCACTGTGCCATTTTATCACTGACTAAATATTATTAAAAAACATGATTCATGATAACAGCTAGTCAACATTCACTTCAACATTATATATCTACGATCTTGGTTTCCTATTTCTTCAATTACGTAACTTAAACAATATATAATATTACTGTTATTTTCAATTATATGAAACACTTCTTATTGACTTCTTTAACTTGTGTCGTATTTAAACATTAAAATGTTCAAAAAATTAGTTTCATCTGTTGTGACAGTAAGTTCAAATTATAATTTGTGATTAAGCTTGATAGAAAATTTTACTTTATAGTCGATGTTTTACTTTTTAGCGTACTTTATCACAATACACCATGAAAAATAGTGCAAAAGTAAACCGGATTGCTGCAAATTCTTTAATACGACCTTTTGGTAATAAAATTTTTCTAAAGGATAAATAAATGTTATAATTGAAAAAATAATTTCTCGTCAATTAAAAAATTTAATTATAATTTATATATAATTTTTCATCTAGGAACATCTCATATTCACAATGTTAAAGTTCAAGATCCTGCTCCATCATTTAAAGGTAAAGCAATTGTTAATGGAGAAATAAAAACTATAAAATTGGATGATTTTAGAGGAAAATATGTAGTGTTGTTTTTTTATCCCTTAGATTTGTAAGTTTATCTATAGACATAATTTTGTTTTTAACAAATTTTTTGAATTAAACTTTTTTGTTTTAGCACATTTGTATGCCCTACAGAATTAGTTTCTTTTAGTGATAACATTGAAGAATTTACTAAAATTGGAGCACATGTTATTGGATGTTCATGCGATTCACATTTTTCACATTTAGCATTTATCAACACTCCTAGAAAGGTTTGTTATATTATATTAGACTTTTGTTTTCATAATTTTTAATTGATTTTACTTCTTCCTTTTTTATTAATTTAAGTTTAATTTTGAGTAAATCATATTTAACATCATTTGATCTTTAATATATATTTTTAAGTATATCATATAATTTTTGTTTAACTATAAAATACATTTTAGTGTATCAGTATTATACAAATATTTGTCAACATTTTAATATTATATTTCAATTTAATTGTATTTTCAGCATGGTGGTTTGGGTGGTTTAAAGTATCCATTATTGTCTGATTTTAACAAAGAAATTGCTAAGGCTTATGATGTTTTAGTGGAACCTGATGGTGTAACACTTCGTGGTCTCTTTATTATAGACCCTACAGTAATATTTTACCCTTCTTCTCATTTTTTGTTAAATACTTAAATTAAAGTTATTTTTTTTAATTTATACAATATTAGGGAACTATAAGACAGATTACTATTAATGATATGCCCGTTGGGAGAAATGTAGATGAAGTCTTACGGCTTGTTCAGGCTTTTCAATTTGTTGATAAAAACGGAGAAGGTAGGTTTATAAGAATATCTATGTATTTTAGTATTTTTAAACATATTGAAGTATTAATGTTAATAAATTTATTTTAGTTTGCCCAATGAATTGGAAACCTAACAGCCCAACAATCAAACCGGATCCCAACCAAGCTAAGGAATATTTTGATAAAGTTAATAAGTAAAATCAGCTTCAAAATGTTTAGAATCTTATCACAAAAAAAATTAAAATTTATATGAATTTTATATATTTTATTAGATTTATAAGTAAATTAAGCCAAATAAATTATCATTTTTTTTTTTTGTGAGAAATTTTCTTTGTCGTACTTACTTATTTCATTGTAAAAACAATACACCTTTACTTGATATTTCATGTTTTGAATAATGAAAAATTTCCTGTTGTAGTTTATAGTAGTAATCACATAATAAATAAAGTCAATTGTTAAAATGAATGTACTTTTATATATATTTAGTTATTTAATAAATTATGTGTACATCTGTCAACTGAACTTTGTAAAACTTTTCAAGGAGTTTTATAATAATGGATCTTGCATATAACACTAAATACAATTTTATTTTGCAATTCTAATTTTAAAACTTTAAATTTTACTGTTTTACTATGTTCATTAGATTTAAAAAATAGTAGCAATTTGTTTTCATTACTTAAGCTTAATAATTTAAATAATAGAATACGGATTTTTCATTAAAATCTTAGTAATAGTTATTAAACAAATTAATAAACACTACTATGACACAAGTGGGCAGTCAATTCATCTAATAAATTCAGAATCATTGGAATATATTTATTTTAATTAATTGAATGGTTATATTTTATATTTATAATACAATAATTAATGTGTTGTGTGGCGCAGTGGATCATTCAATGCTACCTTAGTGCTGTTCTTATATAGTTGACAATACAAGAACTTTAACAGTGACACATACTTTGCTCCTTTATTGTTTCCCTTAACTATAATAAGGTTGACAGTCAGTGTAAAACCCTGTCAAATTAATAAGGTAGAGCTGACTCTAAATAGTTGGGATAGAGGCTAAAGAAAGGATAATGAAAATATTTTCAGTTAAAGCATATGAAAAAATATAAAATTTTAAATGAATTCGGATATTAATAAAATGAAAACCCAAATTTTGTATGAAAAGAAGTGAAGTTGATGGTTATAAGACAAATAAAACAATAAGGAAAGTTTTGTTAGTAAAAATTCACTTTTTTTTTTCATTGAATTATAATTGTATAACCAATTAATCGCTATGCACAACGAATAAGACGGTGACTCAAAAAAATCAATTTTGAGGTATTTGAATTTAGGTTTTATTCTCATAACTTTCATTAAAATATCGAAAATTCGTAATTAAACAACTAAAAAAATTGATTAACATGTAGCGTGTACTTCAAGAGTAATTTTTATTTTCGATATCCTAAAAGTTAGTTACTGCCTTACTCGTTGGGCATATCGAATGAAATATCTAATAACTAATTTTTCTACTGAATTTTCAGTTGATTGCTGATAAAAATAGATAATGGATTTGAAATTTGAAAATAAGACTGTTTGATAACAAAAGTGATAATAGTATTTCAGCCTGCATCTATATTATGAGTACTTTTTTTTGCCTAGTTGTTTTAACATTAAATCGGTCTAAGTATTATATTTTGTTTGAATAGTGACTAATAGATAATTTGGTGTTTTTAGAAATCTAATTTTTGTCATTGTCTTAAAATGAACATAATATTTCAAGTTAAATGTGAATCTGTTTGCGGTGTCTTGTTATATGAAAGAGCAATAAAATTCTTTTAAATATTACTTATTTGTTGAATTTTTAATTATTTGAAGAAAAATACTTTTTAAAATGTGGGTGAAGCCAAAGGAGATTTTAATACCTCATACTTTTTGGTAATGTAATGAAATCAAATGTGTTAACATTATGTAGTTTGTATACTATTTTTTTTATAAATTATTAATTTCTGATTTTTAGGCAAAGTGAAAAAAATAGCTTATATTTTGTATTGCAACACCGTATAGGACATGGACAAGGCAAAAAACTCTCTTCATTATTGATGGGAACTTTTGATAGTATATTTGACACTAAACCATGTCCTTATAGGATTCTACATCAGACGCCAAAATCAGAAGTTTATTATGGTATAACTTTTTTTTTTTAATTAAGTATAAAAAGTAACAAATATTATTTTGTTTTTCCGTTGTATGTTTGAAATGTTTATCAAAGTAATTTTTGCTTGATTGTAAGTGAAATTTTTTTTGAAGTAATCTTGAAAATTTATTATTGTTTAAAAAATTTTTTGTATTCAAGATGTCTCAAACCTAACTGTCAACACTTATAATTTTTGATACAATTATAATTTTATTAAAATTTTTTTAAAATTATTATTGCCTTCTTAGTCTATGTTTAAAGCATATTAATGTTATAAAGATTTTTAATCGTTTAGTAAATATTATTTTTATACAAAATAATATGCATAGAGGTTTATTAATTTTTTTATGTAGAGGAGGGTTAGATAATTTTTGTATTTATTTTATATAATTAAAAAAAAAAAATTAATCATTTTCTTTTATAAAATTGCAATTGAAGAATATGTTTTTTTATAGAAATAGCATGTGCATTAACTGAAAAAGAAATACTTGAAGATTGGGAATGGTTACATAGCAATTTAAATTTAAAAGTTTTTGATAATGAAGAAGAAATATCTAGTTTTGTCTGTACTAAAATTGACAGTCTTATTGCTACTAAAAAATCAGGAACTATTGATGATGAAGATTCTCAGTCATTTAAAGATGCATCAATAAAATTTCATCGTTTGTTTAATGTCTGCCGTGATAGTACATTAGTTTGTTATTATTCATGCAGGTACTTCTTCAAAAATGTCTCGATAATAATAACATATGATAATTTTTTTGAACACAATTTTAGTTTTTGGAGGGGCAAGATTCCACATCAAGGTTGGCTTTATTTATCTGTAGAGTATCTATGCTTTCATTCTTATATATTAGGAAATGAACAAAAAGTAGCAATAAGATGGGCTGACATAGTGAATTTAGAAATGAGCAATAATGTTTTGTTATCAGATTCAATTACCGTAACAACAAGAGATAATAGAACAGTAAGAATTTTGTAAAAGAGAATAAGGGTGAATTAAATAAGAATAAAATGTAACTTTGAAATTATATTATGGTTATATTTATACCTTTAAATTTACTTGAAAATAAACTAATAATAGTAATTAAATTTTTTCTATAGTATTGTTTTTCAATGTTCCTGCATAAATCAGAAGCATATGCATTAATGCAACAACTTGTTAATTTAGCAATGAAAGGGTAAATATTTTATTATAATTTAATTATACAGCATATTTTTTATGATTTGTGATTTTTTTGGAGGGTGGGGTAAAAATATAATTATATGGTTTATTAATTTATTGTATAATTAATTTAATGTATTCATATTCTTTAAAAAGTTTACACCCATTAATGATTATAATAAATATATGAGTTGTCCAGTTGTCAAAGATTGCATGTCCAAAAATTTGTTTATAAATAGATAAAAGATAAAATAAAATTACAAAAAAAAAAATTTTTGAAATGTGTTCTTTTGCAACTGGAAGTCTTCTATACAACATTTAAGATATATCAACCAAAAACTTATACACTTTTTTTTAATTTAACAAACTTTACAAAGAGAATGTATATCCTTTGTTGATATTTGTATTTTTACTATGATAATTTAAAAAATTTGCTGTTACAATACTTATATGAATTTATTTATGTTCAATGAAGTACTGGCACTAAATTTTTTTTAACTTGTGTTTTTTTCCAGAATAATTAATGATGTCTGGTTTGATAAAGATCACAATCTTCTTCAAAAACTTTGGTGAATTTCAAATTATAATTTATAATAAGCTTATTATAAATTTTTAATTATTACTTAATGAGAAATTATTTTTTTTTTTCGTTTCTATTGTAGTTAATAGTTTTTTTTATATAATACAGTCAATATTTTGACTTAAATTTTTAAAAATTTCAAGTAGTTATTTATTTTTTAAAATTAATATTAGAACTTATCAGTTATATTTTGACTTTTTTTTTTTTTTTGTATCGCTATATCAGCCTATTTGTGGCCATAGCGGCCTTCCCTAAAGAAAAAGATTTCTTAACCATTTATACTCCGGAATGGGCGGTTAGTCTGTTGCCGTAGAGAGGGATGGTGATTTCAATTACCAAACTGATCTTTCGTTCGGCAAATGAAGCTGCCCGTGACGGAGTTTTGAAACCTAAGGCAAATACTACTGTGTTACCGATTATATTTTGACTTAATTAGTTAATAATCGATTAGTTATTTAAAAAATTTAATCGAGTAGGTCATAGAAGAACTATTTTTTTTTCATTTAATATTCATAGATTATAATTCATAGTAAAATCTAAAAATTAAAAACTTATATATAAATTAGTTTAGTTATTGTATTTATTGTAATTTAATTCTAAACACAATTAGTTAAATATTTTCTAATAATAATTTGTATTTTTAAGCTTATATAATTAAGTTTAATTGATCTAACTTAGTCAACACAATAACTTTATTAACTTGCTAATTTTTGTTTAAAATAAAATAATTCTTTTAAATATACTTTTTTTGTTTTTGTAATTAGTAAACATGTTCCAAAAAAACAATCATTTGTTAAACGTGATTTGGATGCAAGGGCGATGTCTGAATTATATAGACTTTTATTTCGTTTACCTCAGAATGAAAAATTAGATGGAGTCAGTAATACAATGCTGTTCACTCCATTTAATAAAAAGCATATATGGGGTCAATTATACTTATCTCAAAATTTTATGTGCTTTAACAGTAAAGTAAGTGATAAATAAAACTTGTAACATTTTTAGCTATAACTTATTATTATTTTTTTAGTCAAAAGATCCTCTAAATGTTGTTATACCTTTACGGGATGTTTCACAAGTTGAAAAGTTAGATAATACAAATGATCCATCATTTGATAATGCAGTCATTGTTACATTGAAGACATCAAAAGATAATGATAAGCCACCTGTATTTATATTTTCACATATAATGGAAAGGTCTTTCATTTTAAAAAAAATGTCTGAATTACTTGGCAATTTAAAAACGTATGTATATTTTAGTTATAATATTAATTGACATGCATTTTTTTTATATTTTTAGTAGTAGTTATTATTTTTAAAATATTCAGTAAATCACTGATGTTCAAGTGCACTGTTGGTTCCTGGATGGATGCCATACAGGAACCTTAACATTGCCCTATACTGGCTCTATCAGTTAGATAGATGAGGTTGTATTAATATGATAGCTAATATAAAAATATTGTCAAATCTCCAAGGTAGAACCAACCTTTATAGTTCATATAGAGGCTAAGAAGATGTTGATGAGTTATTATTTTTTTGATTAATGCATTAATTTTATGCGTTAATTAAATTTTAGGAATAATAAATAATAAAGACGTTCATTATTACTGTTTATATTTTTGTTGCATGTTCCTTTTATATGTCATGTTTTACATTCTACATATATAGAGTGATTGGTTTTTCTTAAACTACTTGATTACTTGCAAAATAAATAAGATGGGGAAAAAAATGTTAGTTTATTTTTACTTATTATTCTTGATTTATCAGCTATAAATTACTTTTTAGAATCATCCCTTATAACTCTTAGAGGTGTCAACTTTATTTTTTTGAATGGCAAGATATATAATAAACTTACTTAATAGTAAATTAAAAATAGAAAATAATCTAATTAAGCAAATAACTGGTTGATAATAAATTTTGGACCAGTATTTCAGAAGTTATTAACAATTTAAAGTAAGTATAAATAATAAGTATAGTATTATAAGTAAATAAAAAAAACAACAATTTTTTTCCTGTTGTATTTATTTTGGGAGTAATAAAGTAGTTCATGATAAACTGATCACTCTGTATATATATATTTAAAGGCATAAATGTTACAAAAGTCAAGATAATGTTCCAAAATCTGATTGGAGCATGATGAAACCTTTAATGCTTACATTCCCAATAAAAGAACATAGTGATGAAGTTATTAAAATCTATCAGAGGGCAAAAGAAGTTGCATGGAATGAGTACTTTAAAGACCATGGTACAGGGATCTCTATGTATAAAACTAAAGAACTAGTTAAATTAGTATTGGCTGGTATACCAGATTCAATGCGATCAAATTTATGGCTAACATTTTCTGGTATTTAAGTTACTAATATATTACAAAATATTCTAAATTTTCTTCAAAAATTACTTGATACGTATATATTTTATGATTTATAAATAGGAGCTTATCATGATATGATAGCTAACCCTGGACTGTATGAAGAATTAGTTAATATTGCTTCCAAAACTAAATCAATATCTCATGATGAAATTGAAAGAGATCTGCATAGATCATTACCAGAACATCCTGCTTTTCAATCAGAAATTGGTATTGATGCCCTTCGAAGAGTTCTTACTGCTTATGCTACTAAAAACCCACAAATTGGTAAATATATAAAAAATCTTTTTGGAAATAATTTTAATTATAATTAATATTTTAATAGGGTATTGTCAAGCTATGAATATTGTGGCATCAGTTTTACTGATATACTGTTCTGAAGAAGAGGCTTTTTGGCAATTAGCATGTATTTGTGAAAATATGTTACCTGACTATTATAATAATAAAGTAGTTGGAGCATTAGTTGATCAAGGAGTTATGGACAATTTAATAGCAAAACATTTACCACTGATACATGATATTTTGTATAGGCTTGGGTTAATACAAATGATATCACTGTCCTGGTTTTTGACAATATTTCTTAGGTAAAACTAAAAACATTAATTTTAATTGAATAAAATATTAATTTTTTGTAGTCTTGTTTGAAGTTTTAAAAATCTTTAAGTTTTGTATTTCATAATATCTAAGCCAACTTAAAAATTTACCAAGAAAAACAAACTTATTATTTATATGTTTTGTTTAAGTATTATTTTAACTTTTTTAAGTGTTGAAATTTTTATTCATTTTAATTGTTTATTTTTATTTTTAGAATTTCAGTAGTAAAATATTACTATTTTTTATACAAGAATTGTCTCAGTATTCTTCTCTTCTATGTATCAATTAGACACTGTTTCTAGGGTTTATGTTAAATAAAAGATCTACAAACTTATTTTGAAAACCTATTTTTTTTTTTTTTATCTAAACTTTTTATATAGTATTTTTTTTAGTCTACAAAATATTTTTAAGTTAGTGACCAGGGCTTACGTATATTGTAATTAGACCGTTCTTGTGAAAATACCAATTATTGTTCTCTTAAAATCCTGATTATTTTGTTTTGAACTTTTAAAATTGAGTTTTTAATTATATTGTTAGTGTAATGCCCTATCAGAGTGCCATATTCATAGTTGATTGGTTTTTTTTTGATGGAGCCAAAGTTATATTTCAGGTAATATAATTTATTAAGTAGTCTAATTTTTAAATAATGTATAGGATTACTTTTATTTTACTTCTAGGTAGCTTTATCCATTTTAGAAATGAACCAAAGTCGTTTAGCTTGTTGTCGTGATGATGGTGAAGCTATGCAAACACTCTGTAATTACTTAACAGGCATTTTTAACGAAGAGTTAGAGAATAGCAATATTTATAAGGATGGAGAAAAAATTGATAGGGTAATTTAAATGTTTATCATTAGATACTTTTTATGATTGGGCAAGTAGTTCTATATATTATTTTAAGTAAAATTAAAAGTAATTTGTTGATTAATTGAATAATATTTGTACATAAAGAGATTGAAAGAGAATAATAATATAGTCGATTGATTGAACTTAATAATGTTTTGATAGAATTATAGAAAAATGATTATTTTTTGTGAATAGAGTGTTTCAGTTCAAGAGTTGATTCAGAATGGCCATAAAAAGTTTGGTTCTGTCACTAGCTCTACCATTGAGAATCTTCGAGTTTTACATAGGCTTAAAGTAGTTCAATCCTTAGAAGATGGAAATGAAAAGAATGTAGTCAGATCTTTGAATTCAGATGGTTATTTTTCATCTAATGAATTAATGGTAAAACTGTTTTCATTTTTAAAAGTTAATATTTTATAATTTATTGATTATTCAAGATTTCTTTATTTGTCGTTTTTTAATTTTAAATTTCAAAATGTTTAATATTTAAATATTTTGATTTTTGAATACCACTAAAGGATTTACTGAAATTCGTAAGAGAAGAAGTTTTTAATGTAAGAAAGAGGACTCATTTTCAACCTCCTAAAGCTGAAACCCCTATGGAACCTTATGAAGCTTATAAAATAGACTTTCATTTGTTTGAATCTTTATTTATGGCTATATCACCATTTTCTAGACATAATTGTGCAGATAGACTGAGTGTTCCATTATTTAAGGTAACTAATTTAAAATTAATTTCTAAATATTACAGAATAGCCCTACATTTTTAATCATAATGTTATTTTAATGTGATGTACTTTTGGTTATTATTTATTAGTTTTTTGAAGTTACTATTAACAGGCTATGTAACTTACTGAATTATTAAAGAAATATTAGGGTAAAGTGGTGGTAGGATAAATGTATAAAATTAAGAAATTGTAAATTTTTCAATTTTATTAGAATATTAAATTGATATTATTTTTCATTGGATTGTTTTAATTCTTAAATGTATAGTTAATATTTTTTAGTTATTATCGAGGTGGACATAATGCCCATGCATTCAGACCTGTTGGTCCATTGTGCGCATAGTTAATATTTTAGTGTTATAAAATAAAAAATAATACATTAAAATAATAATAAAAAAACAAGTTCTTATCAAAAAAACCCAGCACAGTGGGGTCGCGGCATAGTGGGGATGTTGCATAGTTGGGTCCAGTATAGATTTAATCTGACAGTGATTAAAATCACTATCATAAGAAACGCTTCGATGCAAATCAGTAGATAGTGTTTAATTCTAAGAAATTGGTGGATAATTACAAAAGCTACATTATCTGCTAGTTTCTTATTAATACCCTGATTAAGATAAAGTATGTCGAATGAAAAAGGGATTATTAAAAAATATTATTTCTCATAAAAAAATTGTGTTGATTCGTACACTTTTCAATGAGTTATAGCATTATAAAGTTAAAAATGTAACCAACCCAACCCAACATCAACTCCTATTTCCTTAATTATATCCAGATTAGTAATTATTTTAATTATATATTATATAATTTTTATAATTAATTATTTTCAAATTATTATTGATTTTTAATATGTTAAAAGTAATCATTTTGAACCTACTTCTTTTTGTTCTTTAAAGTGAAAGTTTTAATAAAAAAAAAATGAATTTATTACCATAACTTTTAACTCAACTTGCAAGTTTGAAATAAATATTATTAAATAGAAAAAAATNAAAAAAATAAAAAAAAAATAAAAAAAAAAATAAACACATCATAGTAAAATTAATACCTTCTCCGCTTCGCATCGAAGCTAAAAAAAAATAAACACATCATGGTAAAATTAATACCTTCTCAGCTTCGCATCGAAGCTAAAAAAATTTTTAATTATTATATAAGTTTATATTTACCCTAATTAACATTATCTCTTATTACTAAAATATTTAGTGGAATAATAAGTGATTTAGTTATAAGTATATTTAAAAAATAATTATTTTATTCTAGAGACATGATTAAATTTTGGTCTTACAAATTATATTGAACTTACAACTTTTTAGTTAGTTTTAGATGAATTATTTAAAATTTAATTTTAAAACATTAAAATTATTTATTTGGATAATTTTTATTAATTATTTTATTAGTTGATGGATATGAACGATGATGGCTTTTTGAACTTCAGGGAATTAACAATGGCTTTAGGTTTAACGTCTACAGCTGATGTTTCAATTCGATTTAAAATATTGTATTTACTTCACTTGCCACCTCTATGTGTTAAAGAAAAATCTACCTTAACTGATCAAAGTAAATTATAAATAGTATATATATTTTTAAATATTTATTTTTTTTAATTAAATTAAGTATTTTTTCTGATAGATGATTCAGAAATTGGTGCAGAAATAGCGTCTGAAGCAGCTGAATACTTTGATGCAAATGTTGCTGTTATTCCAAATGATGGTGGTATGTTTATTACGTTTTTTTTTATTTTTTACAAAAATTTGATTTTATCATTTAAAATAATATAAAAATTATAACTATTCACTTAAATCAAAATTATAATTGATTTTTTTTAGATAATCTTTTATGTGATTTAAAATTATTAAGAAGTTTTGTTTGTTGGACACCATCATCTAAGACTCCTCCAATTTGTTTACCGCCAATGTCAGAAGATTGTTTTGTTGCATTATGTCAAACTTTGTACGATATTATTGGAAAGACTTCTAAAGATCAAGAAATGCATAATAATATTTCAAAAATGGGTATAATATGATTTATTAAATATTAGACATTGCAATTGAAAAAATTGCAAGTATTTTAGAAAACTCAACTTTTTCAACTTAACTTTTGAAAATGTTCTAGAAATGATGCGTCTTTAATTATGTACTCCAAGTTAAAAAAAAAAAATTGTTCTGATAACCTATTTTCTATGCGCAAATGGCAATTGAAATAGAACAAAAAATAGGAGTTAATTTTGCTTTTGAAATAATCTACCAATTTCTTAAAATTAAACACTATTTATAGATTTTTTTTTGCATTGTATTGATGACGATATTAATTATACTATTTTATATTTGTGCATGTAGGATCTCTTAAGTTTGAAATTAATCGATATACATTATTAATATTTCATTATATCACCAGGGCTGCATTAGTGTGAGATGGCTATATAAATTTTGGTAAATAGTTTGTATTTTCAATTGCTTACTGCAGGAACTTATTTGACTAAAAATGTACATATTTTTAAATTTATTATTCTCCGATTTTAAGTTTATAAATACTTGGGGTCTGATGTTATTTTTTTGACATCAATTTTGTGATAAATAGATAATCTATATTTTACATAATTATATTACAATAATATAGTACCACACTATTTAATTAATCATGAAAAATTTAACTTCTAAAAAAGAACTTTAGTATATTTTTAAAAATAATCTTAGTCATTCGATATTATTAAAAATTTGTAGCATTATGGGAGAGATGTATCTTGTTCTATGACTAATAAAGATAAAAGATTCTAAGAAAAATTTAATCCGTAAAAATTAATTGTAATAAAAATTAAAAAAAAATATATATATATATGTATATATACACTATCCACCCTATTTTGTTAACCAAGATTATAAATAAACTCAATAACAAATATTGATGATAAGCATAAGGCTAACTATTTTCATTGGTGCTGACTACTAAAATATTGCACATCCAATATTTTTAAAGACTATTTTGGTGCCAATGACTATCTTGGCTTAATAGTTAATAAATTAGAAAAATTACATAATGTTGGTGTTTAAAATATATGTGTCAGAACTAATGTGACATTCAAACAGGTATAATTTATCAATATAAAATTTTAATCAAACTTAAAATTTTATTTTTGACAAACTCATTCAAAGTGATATCCAAAATTTTGTGATATTTCAATACAATATCAATATTGAATTTTCGCAAAAAAAAAAAAACGGCCTATATCAATATTCAAAAATTGTTATTGATCTTTAATAAAATATTATATACTTTAAATATATTCTTTTTAATAAATCAGGATGTTTGTATTTAAGCTTTTATGTAAACTATAGAAAAAACATATACTCGTTTGTTATATTTTATATAATTTGTTTATTTTAGGATCTATAATTCTAGAGTTGGGGGAATTTAATAAAGAAGAAATGAATAAAGTATGTTTTTATTATAAGTTAAATAAATTATATTAAACTATATTTAATTATGGGTAACTTTTTTTTATTCTATAGACCAATGAAATATCAAATGCTGAGTGGTTAATAAAAGCTGAACAATTTGTTGCTACTGCTTTAACAGTTCAAGGATTAGTTGAATTTGTTGGTGCTAAAGTTGATATTTCTACTGCTTTAAAAAAACTAAGAGATAAATGAATTACCATAAATGTGATATTTAAAATATTAAAATATTTACCTCAATAATGTAACAAATGATTTTTTATTTGATTCACTTAACAGGGTTTTATGTTAAGTTTTACTGTTAAAATTATAATTATGTCTAATTTTGAATAATTTTATTTTCATCATGTTATATAGATATATTTTTATATTATTGTCATCCATTATTATTATATTTGTAAAAAAAAATTATTATATATTGTGTAACCTTATATGACATACAATTTAGTGTTATTTAAAACTTTAAATTATGTATTATTAATAATTCAGTTCATATTATGAAAATGTCAAATTATTTAAATTTCTGATTTAATGTTTTTGAAATGATTTAAAATTATTTTTTTTACTGGAAAGTATTTAAAAAAAAAAAAAAAATTATTTAACTAAACCATATGTTGATTGTTGTTAGGAGCATCCAAAACAAAAAAGGTCAGTAACACTCTATAAATATATGCAAAATGAATTAATGGGATAATTATTCTGAATACAATTATATTACATTGGTTTATTGGACTCTGAAGATATTATATTTTACTATTTACATATATGTCAAACCTTAAATTCAATTGTGAATGTTTTTATCAAGTCACCTTGGTTCTTTGTTCTAGATGCTTTATAAAATAATATTTTAATTAATAATTTAGATAGCTATACGTATAGTTAGAATTCATGATCAAATTGTTACATATTATACTATATTATCATTATAATTTCCAATATTTATTTTGATAAGTTATATGTTATTTGTCTTACAGTCAAAAGTGAACTAGAAAGAAAATTTGATACATTTTAATATGAAAAGCTTTTATTTTTAAATTATTCTAATGTTTTATGATGTATAAGATATGAAATACATTAGATAGGTTGTAAGGATCTTTTATTTATCTAATAACATATGTGCTACTCCTTAAAATCTGTCATAGCCTCTCTAAGATTATGAAAATTACATGTTATTTTTATAATTCATTTTTACATAAACTGATTTTTTTAAGCAGAGAGAAATTAAATTAGAACTAAATATTTTCCTCAAATTACTTCTATGCCTAATAATGTTTAAAATATAATAAATATGTAAGATTATGATAATTTAACGAGAAGGTTAAATGTGATGTCCAATAAAAAAATTATTTTTAGCTGAATACATTTCTAAAGTTAAAGTTTTAGACAATATTATTCATTATAGAAGTTTTGAAATAAAAACATTAATTTATTTGTACACTTAAGTATAATTTTATGTTAAAAAATTAAGTTTATAAATTACTTAGTTTAAAATATAAAATGAAGATTTTTTCAAAAATTAAAAACTAATATTTATTAACTTATTCCAAAACTAATATTCATTAAGCTTATACCCATTAGTCACATACTGTTATCTCTGAAACAAAAATAAGTATATTGTCAACATTTTACTTTTATTAAATCTTTAGTTGGTAGAAAATAGAACTTAAGTTAACATATATTACACATTTTTAAATAGTATAATACTAAAATAAATGATTTTTCAATTATTATCAAAATAAATAAGTATTTATCTTAAATGTTTTCAAATTTTTTAAATTCTTTCCTTAAAAGTATATCAAATTTATTTAAGCTCTATTTCCCTTGTACCAAAGGATAATTTTGGATTTACTTTAATATGTACCCCAAAGGTAAACTATCACAAATGTATATATTATTTTAGAAGCCAAGATAATACTATACAGTGTCTTAGACTTAACTGATAACGCTTTTAACTTGTGATACAATTATAATTTTGTTGGATTTCTTTTTTAATAATTGTCTTTTTAAATTATGTTTAAAACATAATTTGTATTATTTATAAATAAAATAAAAAGCATCAATAAAAAAAATTGTGTGCAATAACAATTTTAGGACAAGTACTCATTAAGTTGGAAGCATTAAACACATAAAGAGGGAATGTAACTTGGGCAGAGTATACATCCACTAATACAAGCTCCACTCGCCCTCACCACATATCCATTCAATGTATTTAAATGATTATAACTCAATAATTACTCATTATAAAATTTTTATTGAACCAATATTTGTTTTCTAAGAAAAAGACTAAAAATTGCTATTTTGAAAAATTAAAAAAAAAAAATTCTTATGCTTTCACAAAATGTTTTAAACATAGTCTAAGAAATTAATAATTATTGAAATTTTTTATTTTTTAGCAAAATAATAATTGTATTTAAAGTTATAAGCATTATTAGCTAGGTCTAAGACATCTGTATGTGTAATGTTCATTTTTGAGAGTATAATTTTTCATTGTGACCTCTATTCTATTCTTTGGTTCAAAAATTTAACTGAATGTTATGGTTGACTAGTATAGATTAAATTGAAGGACTCAAAACAATTTCTATTGTAGAAACTCCATTTTGTCACTAATGGGATGGAGTGTATTGAATATTATAATTGATCACCAGACACATTTACTAGTAATTGAAATGACCTAGATTATCTTATCTTTCTAGGAATATATGGATAATTAACCTTGGTTAAATGCTTACCGAGTTGTATTAACTTGTAATCAAGTGAAGACTTTTAAATCACCCGTTTTTACACAATTTTTTTTGTATTTTATTTTAATACAACATTCTAGGTTTATACAGTCTTATGTGCGCCTGTGACAATCACAACTCACTTGTTTAACATAGCTGTCAATATATTTTTTGACATCACATAACGGGATTCATTTTTGTTGCTAAAAGAGATCCACTTTTGCCTTACATAAAGCCATCGTTTACGATGTTCATTTAATAGTTCCTTCACAGTAGCAATTTCATCAGGATTCTATAATTTGAAATAATTAAATAAATAATAACAGATAAGAAGCAGTTTTTGGTAAATGATTATTTGAAGCTTACAATTTTTACATCTAAAGTTGTTAAAGTGTCTTTTGGCAAGTCTAAAGGCATAAAACATTCTTCATCAATTCCAATTTCTAGTTTAATTTTTGGAGTAGGTAATTTATACACATAGTCTTCAACAACTGTTGAATCGTTGTCACTTTTAAATGAACGTTCAGAAACATCAGTTTTCTTATTTTTAGATTGTCTATGAATATCATAAATTTATTACTTTATAAATTTTAGATTTTAATACTCTGCTGTCATACCTTGCAGATAGAGGGTCATTTTTTATCCATGCTCGACAAATAGTGTACATAGATGTATTTTCAGTAAATGAAGCTAAATCAATACTACGATCACGTAATTTTAATACTAATGAATCTTTGACTTCTTGTTTAGTCTCATTTTTTTTTGATTTTTTGTTATTTTCATTTCCATCTCTATTCAATTTTGTAAAATAAGTACTCTATAAGTTTACATTTATATTTTATGATTTTTAGACTATTTTAAAACAACACTTACACAGGTGTAAGATTTTCTGGTACAATTTCAGTCTTTTTTTGTTCTTTTTTAGCAATTATATCTAAAGCATCATTTAAACTATTACGAGCTTTTTCTAATTGGTTACCTCCTAAATATAAAAATTAAAAATAGTTAAACATGTCTTTTCAAATGTATAAGGATATTACTTATAATTCTAGGTTCCTTCATTGGCGAGTCAACAACTTGAGCAGATGACCTAAGAGCATTTTTACGTTTCTTCACCATTACTGCAAGATAATAAATTATAAAATTTATATAATTTAGTTTGGAAATAAAAATAATTTTTAACTAAATTAAAATAGTTAAATTTGGTGTTTTATTAGTATCAGTAATGTAAAAATAGATAAATAGGAACTGTCAGAAGAGTAGAAACATGTGCTTAAAAGAACTTTGCAAATATTGTTAAAAAATAAAATTAACATAATTTAAACAACAATAAATTATTCTTGAATTTATATCACCCAATTTTACAATGCTTTAATAATATTCATCTAAAATCATCTTAAATTTCACATTAAAATTTTTAAATGAAATAATACATTTTTCTGTTTTAATTATAGGAGATCTCTAAAGAGTTGAGCTAATTTTAAATTATACTACCAAAAAAGTTAAAAAGAATTAAAGAATTATAAAATAAAGGTCAACAACATTTTATTTAATTATTGTCAATATTTGCTGTAAAAATATATCAGGTGATTTAAGCTTAAAAACTTAGTTAATTTTGAGTAGTTTAATTAGCTAATTCAAAAGTATATTATCACTTTATTAATTACATACGATATAATATGTAATTTTTAAGATTAAGTATATTAAATTAAACAGAAAATGAATCTGAAATTAAGAGTAAATATAAAGCTAAAATAGAAATTTTAACACTGCCAAAAATAGTAATATCAATAGTTAATTATTCGAGAATATATTTTTAATTATTTTTTTATAAGTAATTTAATTTTAACATATGTAATCAAAAAATTACGTTATTAAAAAAAAATTACTTACTATTGAGTTGAATAGCAAATGTTTTTTCAAGTTGGAATGTAATATTATTGATTAAGCAAGACAAATATAATTCCTAGTCAAATTTGGTAGAATTAACTAAGTTTTTCTATGTAATTTTCGAATTTAATTCATGATTAAAAATTATATGAGATACGATAAAGAGGTAATAGGTATACTCACAACTTATGTAATCTACGAATCGTGGGCTCTGATTTAAGAAAAACGTAGCTGTTATCGATTTTTTTAATGGTTACCATGTAAATATAATCATAAGGAACAAGCTTACCATTTGTCTATAACGTGTCGTTGAGACCGTTATGATTTACTGTAGTATATATTATTAATCTCTATACCTCTATACAATTTTTTTATTATCAACAACGTTTTTGATACGATAATATAACAATTTTTACACAAAGTATCTATTAGAGAATGATAATATTTGACCTAAAAGACAATGGCTTCATTCGAAAACTGTCCAATGTAGCAGTTAGCAATCTAATTCATTATTTATATCTATGCGATTTCATTAATATTTTGTTGTAGCTACATTAGAAATTTACGACGGTATTTTTAACTGTATACTTAAAAAATAATGAAAACATCTTTGATTATTCGAACTTTGTAATATTTACTATTTAAAAGATTTTAGCTGCTATTTTGGTGCTTTTATTCAACGGTTGTCCCACTGTAATATTAAAGAATAATATTTGTATTGATAAAAATTATTTTATCACTTTTAATTTTATTTACTATTTACAAATAACCAAAATTATTTTATAAAAACTTAATTATTTTACTGTGTAATATATTGTGCAAGAATTAATTACAGAAATCAAGTTACAATCGTATTTTCTGGTTGGATATCTAATAATTGTACTTTTTAGTTTAAATTTAAACAATGATAGACGACGGCAAAGAAGATGAAGACTCAAAACCTACTATTGTAAAAAATATTATCAAAAATGCCACAGATTTACAACGGCTTAAACTTGAAAGATTAATGAAAAATCCAGTATGAATATTTTGTAATTTTTATTCCACTAATTTAATTATAGTTGATATTTATTTATTTATACATTATATTAAAAAATAAGTAGAGGTAGCCTTTAATGTGTTATCTAAGTAATTATGTATTAAATATTTATTAGTACACTATTTAGTAATTGGTATTTAATATATTTTGAATATTTGTACTGAATATATAAAATAGATGAATTTTTACTATAATTGATTTATGATTTTCAATTAGGACAAACCAGTTTATATTCCTGAACCTCGTTCTGAAAAGAAAACACCTCATGTGCCAGATTTTGTAAGAAATGTTATGGGATCGAGTGCTGGTGCTGGAAGTGGCGAGTTTCATGTTTATAGACATTTGAGGCGAAAGGAATATGCAAGACAAAAGCATATTCAATTAAAAGCAGAAAAGGTATATTATTGTTGTATAATTATAATAAGTATTATTATTGAAGTTAATGATAAAATATATTTTTTTTGATTTTATAGGAACTTTTGGAAGAAGCTTATAAACAAAAAATACTTGAAAATAAACAAATGGCTGAAGAGCGGACAGCTAAAAAAAGAGCCAAAAGATTAAAAAGAAAGCAAGTTTTAAAACTAAAAGCAAAAAAATCTAAAAATATGAAAACTGACAGTGATTCTTCTAATGACAGTGAAAATCAAGATAACAGTGAGACTTAATGTACTTTTTTGAATTGTAATTTGTATATAATTAGGTAATGTAAAAAGTACTTTATTGTGGATCATAAATTTTTTTAAATAAAATATATGATGCTATTTATTGAAAAGTGGAATCTGTTAATATAATTAATATACTTCAAAATGTACAACATTTTAATAAGGTATTTGGAATCAAGATATATTTTCATTTAAATATAATATATATTTATAGAAAAATTATATTAATTTGGTCTTAAATAACTTATCCAAGTTATATAATTAAACAATATTTGTTTTATTTTTTTGTTGCGTTATTATTATTTTTAACAAGTATTTGTTATAATTTAAAATTTTTTATGAGAAAGGGCTGAAGTAATTTTTTTAAAATTAAAATATTTCAAGATACCTTAATATCAGAAAATAATAATAATTTATGTAAAATTATAATCTAATCATAATTGGAGGTATGAATGTTTGCAAAAAAATACAAGTATATAAAAATTGAAATTAACATTCTGCATTCATTTGATTTTATTACGATTATATTTATTCATAAATTACATTTATTTAAGTCCATATTAAAGTTGTTTAAGCACTTGCATTACTTTCTAAACAATTTTGTAGTATTTTTTTAACAGTATTTTCAACTTGCTGGGAAAATAATTTGTTAGCTACAGCTACATCTGAACGTTCATCAAAAATATCTGGTTTTGGTACCCTTCTCATTCTTAATTTTGGTTCTTCTACATCTTCATTTCTCACAGCTGCAGAAGGTAGCAAAAATATATCAGATCGAACTGCTGTGACAGACATACACATACGACCCAATTGATTTAAAAATGTTAAGCAATCTTCACTTAGTGTTGGGAACACTTGACATATTTTAACTAAAGCTGGGAGAGTAGGCATATATAGTTCACGTCGATCTTCTTGAGTTAATACTATAATGACAAAATAAAGATTAAATATATAATAGTATATAATTATAATATATAATTTAATTTTAAAGCTCCCCAGAGAAAATCCAGAGATCACGCTCCCTTCTTCATACCCATCTGTTCTTCTAATTATATTTATAATGAGCCAATTAAACGTTTAATGAAAAATGCTAATGAAAACCCTTCTTTCAATTTCAATTAAACATTTATTTTATATACTTTTGTTTAAATGTTTGTTTTTTTCTTAATGTTTATTATTTTTGTATTACTGTTTTTTTTTTTGTTTCATTTTCTGTAACTTTATTTTTATATAATAAGGGTCAATCCCGTTGAATAAATAAATAAATAGTAAACTTTACACTAAGTATAGTATTGATAATTACCTGAGAGAAATGTGTACATAGTATTAATGGCTAAACGTGCTAAACTTAACGACTTAGGGAGTGGATATTGTTGAGAAATATTTGAAATAAGGTCTATTGCAAATATTTGTTTCTGAAAATCTGGTTGGCTTAGTAGCTCAGCAATAAAATCTAAGCAGATGTGCATGGAGGGTATACCAACACATGTAACTGGTAAGAGTTCTCTTGGATAACCCTATAAATAAATAGTACGTATATGCATTACTTTTCATTAGTTTATTTTGAAATTCTATCATTATTTTAATAAAGGTATAAAAAATATTACAAAATATATACTATATTACTGATATTGTTATATAAAAAAGTTATATGATGAAATTTTTATCATATTTGTTTAAAATACCTGAAAATGTACTAATTTTGCTAACTGAGGATCAGCAATAAACATTTGATGTAAAAATGAACAAACTACGCTTCGTACTTCCCGTAATGTCATCATATTAGAGAAAGATTGCTGTAAAATAAAAAAAAAGTAAAACTTAAAATATTATTTATTGAGATAAACTTACTCTATCATTTTCAGTTTCTAAACAAGCCTCTAGTAATAATTGAATAGCAGCACTATCTTGAGCAGCTGTCAATACATTTTTGTATTCTTCACGGTTATTGGCTATCTGACCAGTAACCAGTAGCTTTTGATTGACTAAACGTGACAAATGGCTTCTAGATGCTGCTAAAGATGATTGTAGCACACGTAATACTATGCTTAAAACAGTTGGACATCTAATAAAATTCATTCAATAGAAATTTATAATATTAATATCAACCAATAATTAGTTACATATATAAATAAGATTTAATATTTATTTATAAATAAATTACTATGTTATATTATATTACATTAATATATACAAGTGTTAAATTAAATAACTTGAACTCGAAGATAACTTTGTTTACCTGTAAACTCTGGAATCACACTGTAAAACTTGAAGTGGATCTTGCATAATATTTTCTTCTTTAAGAGAATTTACTACATTATTGTGTTGTAGAGATTTAACTGTGAGGACCCATAAATTACGTGGTAATACTGTGTTAAGTCTAAGCCATACTTTTTTATACAACTCTTTAAAATAAAATAAAAATTGGTTAAAATAATGTAATAATTCAATTAATAAAATGTATACCTTGAATATATCTTGAAACATTTGAATCTAATATATGAGGCAAAAATTTCAGAAATGTTGAAGCAAGAGGCCAAATTTTAATTGGTAATTCAGCACATAGTCTTTTTAATACAATGCCAGCTCTTTCAGGATGCTCGACCATCATACTTAATCCTAAAAAAAAAAAAACAGTAATGAACTATATATTTATATAAATTTTGTATATTAACTATTATAAATTTACCGCTTTCAATCATTTCTTCTGTGATATTTTTAGCTTTATGTTGGGATATAAATTGAATTTCTGTTGATGTACCTTCCATCCAGTCTTCTACTAATGATAAATGAGGAAAATGTGTGGCCAATAATCTTAACAATGTAGAAAATAAACTTGAGTAAGGGTGCTCTTTCTCTGCTTGTTGTACTATGTATCTAATTGGAATATCTGCTAAAAATTCAGTTTTATAACGATAAAAACTTGTTAGATGTGTCTTGTTTTGCTGTGCTGCTAATGACATGCTAGTTTCTTCATATAGAAGTAAGTAGTACAATAAGAGCAAATGAGCAGTAAATGATTTATTTTTAGTTTGATCAAACACTTTGTCACCAAATATTTTGATGATTTCTTCTTCTGTTAACGGCTGATTAACTGCAACTTCTAATGTTGATTTAGTTGGTAATATTAGTATAGAAGTAACATAGGCTTCAATCAACGACGGTAATAATGGATGTAATGGAGAAACACTAGCACAAATTTGACTGTAAAAAAATGTATAATACATTAAAATTAAAACTTAAAAAAAAATTAACAATTTTCACTGTACTCTGTATAGCATAAGTATATGTCAATTGGTACAAGAAAATTTGTTCAAGGTTAAGTTTAACAGAGTATAAACATCATAATTAATAATGATTTGTAAAGCTTTATTAAGTGTGAACAATACTAATGTTATTTATGAGTCAATTCTGGAAAATTGAATAATATTCAATTATACAGAGCAACAGCATATAATATACATTGTGCCAGTGGAGCATCCAAGGGATGAGCCTCTCTATTGGCTATACTAAAACTACATTATAAGTAAAAATCACCCAAAAATATTTTTAATTGGTATTGACTCCATTAAAAATTCCAGGATATATCGCTATACTCTATAACTATATAGTATGTACTATGACATAAGCTTTTGTTATGAATATAAGAAAAGTTTTACCTAATGTTTGAAACCAAACAAATTTATTTAATATTTCCTATTTTTATTTTCATCCTGTAAGGATATTACCTTCATATTTTTTTGTTAATATATATATATATAGTTTGATAGCTTTATAATTTAACAAATTAGCAACTAATTTACCCGTTAATGTATAAAAAAAAAAAATACTTACTTATAAATCCAAGTTTTAATATTTACACGATGTTTGTTGAAAGCTTGACTTTTAAGTAATTGCAATACACAATGAATTGGTAAAAATCCTGTCATGTTAGCATTTAAATTTGGAGTAACTGGTATGTTAACACTTCTGGATGCAACTACCTAAAATAAAATGTAAAATAATAGTAAATGAGGTATATATTAATATAAGATTTATTACTTGTTCTGGAAAAACATCTTGAGTGAAAATTTGTTTCATTTTTCCCATTGTACTTTGTCGTATATTAATTCTCATACCTAATGTATTACACATATGATCACAGATCCATGTTAATTGGCTGCTATGAAAATGTATAGCCATCAACAGCAACATTTCTCCAAAACTTGCAGTTGTATCAGTTGGTCTAAAAAGTAAAAAAATACATTAATATTTTTATTGATCTATAGCTTTGGCAACTTGGTCATTCATTATTTCATTTTTAATATTTTTTTATATTCCAAAAAATGTTGACATTACTTTCCAAAAAATGGAGATTCACTACTAGCCAACTTTTTCAACCAATGTACACATTTAGCTTCATTTTCTGGACTTGCTAAAAGTGTATTGCAACAAATCATTATGCATATAGCAATGGTCACAAATCTTACACCTTCAGGAGTTGAAGGAGGATAACAAGTGGCTAAACTGACAAGAGATGTCACTTCTTCTTCTTGAAATCTGTAAGAGAAATACATAATATTTTAAAAGATAGGAACCAACTAGAAATGAAATAACTTTATGTATCTGAAACTATGAACTTTTTGAGGCCATTTGCAAAAAAAATTCCCCCAATATAAACAATTTTTTTTTTGAATAAAATTGTGTTTTAAAGTTAACTATAAATATATATTATATAACATTAAGTATATTTATTTAAAGAAAACATATGAAATTGTCAAAGAGGGCCATGGGCTAATATCAATACTAGAGTAGTTTTAGAATGAAGATATTTATCTTAATAAATAGATTTTATTAATATCTATATTTAAAAGAAAGGTTTAAAATTAATAATTTTAATAAAATTAAGATGTGCAACCCAGTTTTTTTTAAAGAAAATGTACCAAATTATGAACATAATCAGCAAAACAAAAAAGATACCTATAATTTCAGAACTGTTTTCATTCTAGGAGGTTATAATTTAAAACACTACCCATAGTTAAGCAACTGATAAAATTTGACGAGTGCAGTGTAGTAAACGGTTATGTTCATATTTGAAATTACTCAGGAAAAGCAAAATATTTAAATGATTTTAGTACTAAACTCATTATATAAGGGATCTTTATTTGTAATATATTAGCTTTACTAGTAGATGTATATGCTGAAAAAATCCAGTAAACTGTTGAAAAAATTATTCTCTAACAAAATAATTGAAAGTATGTATTTCACAAAAAGTATAGATAACTGGTTATTGCACTGAGTTGTTGAAATAAGAGTTGGTTATTTATGCATTTAAAATTTACTTGATCCCAGAAATTCCTTTTAATGCACAGTAAAGACGTAGTAATACACTAGCTTGAACAACAGATGAATTAGGTAATGTATTATCTTTAACATTTCTTAATAAATTTTGAAGCTGTAATAATAATTCATCACGCATATTCTGAACAGCAATATTAACTGAATCCTTGATTCTCTGTAAATTATCATTTATTATTATATATTATTTTAAACACCATAAATTAATTATTTAAAGTTTAAATAAAAGTAAACATTTAAAATATAAATATACTTTTTGTCTAATAAACTGTGAAAACCAACTTCTGGCTTGTTGATCATTCCCTAGAAGTAATCCTGAGACAAAGGTTACTAGATCATTGTTGCTTGATGTACACATATTATCCAAAAATGGAACTTCAAAAATTTTGTGTTCTAATGTTAGCATAATAGTTAAGGCTGGCATTTTACTAAGTTCAACCTTATAAAAAACAATATATAATAGAAATATTTTTTATAAATTTAATATTGCTCTAATATATTACACATTTTGCTCGCACAACAAGAGCAGCAGATGGGTACATAGCACATAATTGAATCAAAACTTCTATACGTATACGACTACCACCATTTTCTTCTTCATATCTCTCTGAGTTTTGAATTAAACTCGTACATACTAGAAGTTAAATTAATATTTAAAAATAGCTATTTTAAACTATGGGATATATTTTAAAATATATATTGCCATTAAAAAAAAATTTAATCTACGAGTAGTACAGAACTGAATTTTTGATATTTTTATGATATAGATATCAGTTTTTTTTTTAATTAATTTCTTCAGATTTTTACATCAAACAATTGTAACTAGAAAGAATAATTTTTACTATGTTTGAACAAATTTGGCAATAATACAACTTTGGTATTAATCTTTTTTTTTTAAATATACCATCATAAAAACAATCAGGAAAATTGGCAACAATCCAACAAATAAATGTTGAACCATGTTTAACGTGCAAAAGTACTTCAGCTATATCTTGAACAGTAAGTATAGCTGGTAGTTCAGAAAGAGCAATATTTAATACATCACAAACTTCTGGTATATAAACAGGATAATCAAATAAATCAGATTGTTTTATATAAAATTCTGAATTAATGGTAGATTGATTACAGTGTTGTTTTTCTCGATGTTCTTGAATCTATAAAAAAATTTCATAAAATATATATTTATTTACATTGTAACTTTAGAAAATACCTGTGAAGAAATATAGAGAATTTCACTTAAAACAAGCCTTAGCCTTCTAGTAGAATCACTTCTTTCAAATTCAAGTGAAAGTGGGTTTTGTAATGAATGTATAAGAATACTATCAGCTTGAGTACTTCCCAACTTTTGTCTACATAAAATTAGTCAATATTGAAACACACATAATTTTTAATACTATTTTTCATTAAGGTACCTTAATAATTGTTCTTTTTTAACATCTATTTCCAAAGAGTGGAAGTCAATGGATAGCAATGCTACAATAGAATTGACTAATTCTATGCCAGATAGTAACGTTAGAATATTTTTTTTACCATCAGTATAATCAGCCATGTTGTCAGCAGATGATATAAGGCTCATCCTAACTAAACAAGGAAGAATTGGTCGAATATCTTTGGCAGATAACTTGCATAGCTCGTGTATATCAACATTTAAGAGTGCTTGGAAAACTTTACAGGAAACTGTTAAATTCGCAGCCATAATGAATATCGAATATAAATTATTTTTAATTACCCAGTTATTAAGAAATTTTACATATTGTAAACATTTTTATAAAAAAATATATATATATTTCTGAATTTCATCATTTTTTGAAAGTAAAATATTAAATATATGTCATATTTAAAAAAGTTGCTGATGATAAATTAAATTTAAATATACGAGAACATGTTGTCCGGTAGTGTCGTAATACTTTTGTTTACCTAATATCTGATAACAATAATTATAGTAAAAATTTGTTGATAAAAATTGTATATTAAGTTAGCTGTTATATTAAGGTTTATCTATCATACTTAAATTGGTTGATAATGTGCATTGATATGAAATCACACAGATTGAAGTCGAAGATGAATGGTTCTTGATTGAGTATTATGTTTTTTAATTTTATTCTTTTGTTATTATTGTTTAAACCTTTTGTTATAAGATTTTTCTATACTAAAAGTACAAAAAAAATTATCTTTAAATTAATTTGACCCTTTTTTTACTTTAAATTCAATTATTAAATAATTATTTTTATAATTTTAATGAAATTCATTTAATAGTTTAAGTTTTGTAATATCAAACTAGAACATGGAAAGTTGAGTTAAATAATTTTAATTTATATGGTGAGATGCAAGAGTTTTTATTATTTTTATTATTATTAGCTTTAGCCTTGATATATGTGTATTTTATTTTATTGACTTAACTTTTGTTAATACAAATTATTTATATAGATAGAATACATAATACATATATATTTTCATTGTTTATATAAAGGGTATAGAGAAAAACTGGAATTGTCCTTTTTTGTCAAATGTTTTATTAATATAAAATATTAAACAAGTTAAAATCGGATGTTTTAATATGTAGTATTCAAAGTTTAATCCTGTTTACAGTCTTTAATAGTAATTCTCAAGCAACCAAATATTATAAGATAATATATACTCACCAATTAAATCTTTTTGATTAAATAAGATTTCATGCTAATTAAGCTTGCTAAATGTAGTCATTATATTATATGATAATGAATGTTAAGTATCATTTTTTGCTTTAGTTAAGAGTGAGATGTTTCTTTGATACTTTTATTGAAATACCAATTTAAATGATTTAAAAATTAAGTTTTAACCAACAAAATTAAAAAATAATTTGTTTACTTATAGATTTTATCAAATTGAAAAAAAAAAAAAATGAATAGTGATGAAGGAGACATTCGTTGGTATCATGGAAAGATATCTAGAGATACAGCTGAAGTAATTTTATTGGATCATGAGATTAAAGACGATGGTTTATTTTTAGTTCGAGAAAGTAATTCTGCATCTGGAGATTATGTACTTTGTGTTTTACAAAATAATGAAATAGTTCATTATCAAATTAGACGACATGGTGAGGATGCTTTTTTCTCTATTGATGAACAAAATATTATGCATGGGCTTGAAACCTTGATTGAGTATTATAGTAAAGTAAATGATCCAAGTTTAGGAGTACAGCTTACTAAACCTATAGTTAAAGATCCTCCACCTCATGATACTAGAAGACATGGACGCACTAATCTTTTGCATCGAGCTATTACACAAGCTAATTGTAAAGTTGTTTCTGAATTGTTGAAATGTGGTTATAGAAATCTTGAAGCTAAGAATCAAGAAGGTCAAACTGCATTACATTTAGCTAGTCAAATGGGCCATGATCAAATTGTTGAAAAACTTATTTCATGTGGTGCTAATGTTAACTGCCGTGATACTGAAGGTTATACACCATTGCATTTTGCATGTCAAAATAATTTATTAAGTACAGTAAAAGTTTTGTTAACCATTGGAGGTGCAAATATTCAGTTAAGAAATTCATCTACGGGATGGGTTGCTCTGCATGAAGCTGCAAGTAGAGGTCACATGGATATTGTAACTTTATTGTTGTCTATGAATGCTCCATCAAAACCTAGAACCTATGGTGATCTTACACCTGCAGATATTGCCCATACAAATGGACATGTTGAAATTGAAAGACTATTAAAAGAATATGTTCCTCCAATGCCATTATCAAGACGTGATAAGTGGTATCATGGAAAACTTGATCGTCATGAAGCAACCAGTATACTAAAAAACAAAGGTATTGATGGTAGCTTTTTAATCAGACTAAATAGACAAAGTGGATATGTTTTATCAATGTTATCTGGTGATCAATGTTACCATTTTCAAGTACAAGATAGAGATAAATATTATTTCATTGATAATGGTCCATATCTCGATTCTTTAGAGCATTTAATACAACATTATACACTTTTCCCAGATGGTTTACCTAATAAATTAGAAGTGCCTATAGTTCCTGCTGTGATACCTCCATTACCAAAAGGATTTCCTTGTAAAACATTGAAGAAACCAAAACCTAAGCAAACAGATTTCCAAGATAATATCATGAGAGATAATTTAATTTTAGATGAAGTAATTGGAGAAGGTGAATTTGGATCTGTATATAAAGGTGTATATCAAAATCGAGAAGGTTTCGAAGAAAAAGTTGCCATAAAAATGCTTAGGTATGATATGTCATCAGCAAATAAATCTGAGTTTTTACGTGAAGCACAAGTTATGATGAGTTTAGACCACGAATGTGTAATTAAACTGATTGGTATATGTGAAGGTCCTCCTTTACTAATGGTACAGGAACTTATAGCACTGGGTTCTATGCTAACGTATATAGTAGCACATCCTGAATTAGTTAGTCCTAATTATGAATTAAAAATGTGGGCTGCTCAAATTGCTTCAGGTATGTCTTATTTAGAACAAAAACGTTTTGTACATAGAGATTTAGCAGCTAGGAATATACTTTTAGCTGATAGACATCAAGCAAAAATAAGTGATTTTGGATTATCTCGTACATTGAATATTGATAAAGACTATTATAGAGCTTCACATGGTGGACGTTGGCCTATTAAGTGGTATGCACCAGAATCTTGCAATTATGGAACATTTTCCAGTGCAAGTGATGTATGGAGTTATGGTGTAACATTATGGGAAATGTTTTCATATGGACAACAACCTTATGGTGACATGAAAGGTGTAGATGTGATTGGTATTTTAGAAAAAGGTGAAAGATTACAAAGAACTGCACGATGTCCTAATGAAGTTTATAAAACCATGGAGATGTGTTGGGCATATAATCCTAAAGAACGGCCTACATTCAGTCAACTGTCTAAAATTTTTGCTTCAGACTCAGATTACGAAAATTTCAAAAATTTTATCAAACTTTAAAAGTGCCCTAGTATATTAAGTTTTATTTCCTATTAGACAATAGTTTTAACCATTTAATTTTTAATGAAGAATTAACTGAATTTCTATACTAAAATTATTATTGACTATCGTTATGGATATTTTGTTAATGCTATTAATACCTTATATTATTAATAAGAGTTATGAACAATATTTTGTTATCTTTTAAAATTTAGTAAATTTTTTTATATTTACTGATAATTTTTGTTTTTTGAATTCCCATATATCTATTTATAACTATACTGTCTATTATAATTTTTAAAATACATATTTTTCTTAAATTTATTGTTATTTATACTATAAGTATATGTATTTTGTTAAATAATTACTATTTTATTGTAAAAACATATTTTATATTATTTTAATAGCTAATGTTATTTTTTACAAAATAAATTTGTAATTTTAATATTTTTTTATTCAACAATTATTAATATTCTAAATCAAAAAATAAACAATTTTTTGTAGTTATAAAAATAGATCAAATTTTATCAATATAGTCTTATTAATATATTTTTATTTTTATAAGAAACAGTTATTTTATTTTACAATATTTTCTCAGATTTTTTTACACATTTACACATTTACACATTTTAAGATCTTTTGATAGGCTCAGTAATTTTGTATAAATTATTTTATATTATATTTCAATAATTATAAAAATTCAATAAAAACTATCAAATCGTCCATATTTTATATGTATAAACTTGTAACTCTGTTTTGTTATGCAATTATTTAATGTATTATGTTTCACCGAGAGTATGATGAGATGTATTTAAATGTTAAATTTACTACTGTATTATAAAATGAATATTTAATAAATGATCTATTTTTGTTATATATATGCATTAATATTTTTGATGGTATCATGGTTATTATATAAGAATATTATTTTTTCAAAAAATTAAAGAATAGACATTTTGTTTTGCCAGATTTAATATGAAAACTCATATTATTAATAAGAATAATGCGAGTCAGAATATTTTGTCAAACAAAAAATACTTTTGTTCTTATAAATTAAAATTATTTTAATAAACCTCAATGTCAACATTTTATTTTATTTTATTGAACTAATTTTTATCTTAATAATAAATAATTTTTTGTACTTTAATCTATTGATTATGAATAACGATAAGACAATTTTTCATTTTTAAAAATTAAACAAATACATTAATAAGTCCGCCAACCAGCAATAAGCACAATTACAATTTTTTGGCATTAGAAATTTGATATATTCTACATAACTTATTAATATTTAAGTGATATTTTTATTTTTTAATTAAATCATGGAGTTATCGAGAGAGTTGCATGTAAAAAAATGTTACGTATTCGAGGGATATAAAAATTTCCATAACTGTGAGAACTGATACTATTGAAGGTTATATTAGTAAGATATCCTGAAACTTATTTATTATGGAACATTTAAAAAATTGATAACGTCAATTTCAAGTTAAAATGATTTGTTTTACATAAATGTATAAAATTACAAGCATTTCATAATTCATTAGGTTAAATAGATTTGATATTTATTAAAGTAGTATGTATATTTCACATATCTTTGATATTATTGCACTTTGTTGAGAGTATAACAAATTATAATTATTATTTATTTTAGATATGAGTTTTAATGGCTATAAAGATATTATTGAAGAAGATGACACTGTTATTTTGTATATTAATCCACAGAACATGTATGCTGTTCGAGCTCAATCAATGATTGAAAATCGTAAAGGTGAAATAATTGAAAATGTCATGCAAACTAAATATGGTGCTTTAAAAATATCTTCCTTATTTGGAAAACGATATGGTTCTAAAGTTAATCTATCAAATGGTTGGGCACATGTATTACATCCCACACCTGAATTATGGACACAGACTCTACCTCATAGAACACAAATTATTTATACACCAGATATTAGTCTAATTATGTATTTATTAGAACTTAAACCTGGAAGTATTGTTGTTGAGTCAGGTATGTAAATTATGATATTTTAAACAATTTATGGTACCATTATCTTTTATTTAGGCACTGGTAGTGGGTCATTGACTCATTCTATGGCTTTGAGAGTAAAACCTTTTGGTCATGTATATACATATGATTTTCATGAACAGAGAGCTGAACAGGCTCAGAAAGAGTTTAAATTACATAAAATTCAGGATATTGTTACATGTCAATGCAGGTAAATAATTTAAACGATTGTTTAAATAATTTAAAATAATACAATAAAATTGTTTAGAGATGTTTGCCAGAATGGATTTTGTGATAATGTAACCGGAAAAGCGGATGCAGTATTTTTGGATTTACCTCATCCTCATTTAGTTGTTCCTTATGCTGCTAGAGCTTTAAAGCCATCAGGTAAAATTTGTTCCAGGATACCTAGTTAGGCAAGGAGAGTATGGGACTCCAATGTTAAAATTTTAAGGGCGTTATTATTGTTTGGAAAAAAAAATTATTAGTAATAGTAAAATTGATAATGTAGTTGTATTAATGGTTAGGATCAAGAGGAATATTTTTACTGTGGGTATAAAACTCTAAATAAATAAATACGCCTCTGTTAATGTACTTAAATCTTTTGCATTTTGTAATTCTCAGTAATACCAATGTCAAATTTTATGGGTGTTGCATGATTAAAATCATTCACCATCACCTCCAAATTGTTTGACCTTTTTTTACTTATTACGTATTATTAAAGTATCTTTTTGGACATTTACCAGGAGAAGCATACTTTAATATTTCAACTACCAAATATATTTATATTTCATCTGAAATACATGTACATAGAGATCAGCATTACTGGTGATTTTTATTTCACAATTTGTGGTATCTTGAATAATATATTAATATTTTTCATAGAAATTTTTTTTTTTCTTGAAAAAACTTGTAAATATTTTAGAATATAGATGAAATAATAAATTAGTGAATAATGTGTAGCTATATTTAAAGGTATTAAATATATCATTTATGAATTAAGCTATATAGTGCAAACATTTTTAAATTTTAAAATTGCTACACATACCTTAAAAATTGCAAGACGTAATTTTTTTTGCTTTCACTCTTTTACAATTATCTTTCATTAACTGGTAAAAATTAGAAGGTGTATAATCTATTGACTAGAATATGTTATTTATTGTTAGATAATTTATTTTGGTAATTAAAAAAATATTATTGAAGATATCCAAAACATTTTCAACGACCCAATAAAAAATGTGTAAAAAAAAAAAAAATAATTAATGTTGAGTTGAGTTAAGTTTAATTTATAAAGTTAAGTTTAAGTTTTTTTTTATTACTGTTGTTGGAAATAGATTGTATACTCGTGGTATGACATTTTTAAACAAATAATATCCAATAATAGACTTGTATTGAATTGTAATTGATCAGACTGTCAATAATTTGTAGTAATTCGTATATTATGCCTAGTATATTTTTGATAATCATTATGACAATTTTTATTGAATGAAAATTATTATTCAGGTTATAATGTTTTAGCAAATATATTTTTTAAAAATGAAGTGGATTAAAAAGTCTTCATATTTACAAAAACTCCAACACACAATCATTAATATTTTAATTACTTATAATGGTATTTTTACATCGCAAACATCAACCGACCATCAATCCATTTTGGAGATTGAGTAACTGCCCTAGTGGAACTTAGGCATCAGTGCTACTATCTGAGATCTGGAGGCAATAGCGCACTTTGATATTCTTTAATCTTGGTCTAATTAAAGTGCGTCTAGATTAATCCACTTTCATTTTCTTGTCATGAACACCAGATTGCAACAAGAAAAAACTATTGAAATTTTTTATTGTAAAAATATTGTTACTATGTAGTCGTATTCATGGGAACCGGTCATGTGTTCAATTTATAAGTGTTCAAAAATCATGTGTATGAAAAGTCTTACATTCGCTTAATAAGTTCAGAGCTGGAACTCCAATTTTCTTTTATTGCAGGGTTTGGATTTTTCATATTCAAAATTGTCGACTAATTTTAAATCAAACTTAATGTTTATTACAAAAATATAATAAGTAAAAACGGTCTTTAACTTGTATTAAACTGCCGACTGTATTGATTAAAATAATTGTTGTGGAAGATTATTTCACTCTCTCATACCTTTCTAAGATAGAGCCCTGAATAAATAAAAAATTTCTTAGAGTAATAACTATAGTATGTGTTATTGTATGGTTAGTTTTTATACGTGAATCGTGTTCAAAAAAGACAGTGACATTTGTAAAATATCTTATATAAATAAAGTCTTATCAGCTCTACAACTTCCATTTTTTATTGACTACAATTAAAAGTTCAATAAAAATTTAATCAAAATTCTGAAATTTAAACTCAGCTGTTATAATTGACATGTTTATTTGTACATACATTGAATAAACTCTACACCGTGTAATCATCTAATAATTGGCGGTTAAATAATGTTGGATTAACTTGTTCATATAGTTCACCTACGGCGACAAACTAAGCGCCAAAATATTTTGATCTGGGTGGTGATTGTTTTGTGGACATTTATTACTGGCAAGTACCGGTTTCAACGGTACGTGTGAAATTTTGTTGAAAATATTTATTTTTTGTAGTAATATTAGTATGAGTATCCATAAGAATCGGACATGGATATTTCCATATATACAGACCCTTCGGGTGTTTTTAAGATGTCTCAATATAATATAAAGGTAATATATTACGTCTACCACGGTTAAGATTTTCATGGGGTTCGACCAAAGTAGTTTGCACTGTAGCAGTGGTCTCGTCTTCCTCGTTGCGTGCCATGTACAACATCAATAGCGATGCATCGTACCGTCTGATCCCAGTGAATTATGAGTGCCAAGTACTGTACGTCAATTAGTAGTAAACACACGCCGCTCGTTGTTAAGAATGTATCGTAGGAATCTTCTAATTCAGATAAAATATAATATCATCATATTTTCCTATTGAAGATTTATTTACCTGCGGCGCTCGAGTTGTGCGCTGAAGAGTTGCGAAGAAGAAGGCACACTTGCGACCACAAGCTTTGATTTCGGTGCATGTTATTATATTATTAACGTTATGATGTATTTAGTGTAATAACGATATGTGTGTGTGTGTATAATTGAGTGCATGCAATGTAACAGATCAAAGGATGCCGGTCGCCACCCGAGGAGAAGATACGAGACTTTATTGGTCAGATAATTAAGTTTCTTTAAATTAATGTACACATTAAAGAACACACATATTGTTTGTTTGTGTTCGTCGTAGTGATCGCAAAAACTGTTCAAGATGTGGCTTAAGGTAGATTATATTAACAAAATCATTTGCCCGTTCGTTTGACTAAGGTATTTTTGTTCCTATAAATTGGCTGATGATCCATTGCCGGCATAGGTGCATCTTGCGTAATAGTAAAATTACAATAATATCGTGCTCGTGACCGATAGGAAAAAGAATTTTTAAAAAAATTAGGGCATATAATGGAAAAAGAAAATGTTTGTGCGTTACCGCCAGCTATAAATTCATTATCTGGTGCGGGCGAGCTGACCGTGGGAACCGTTCGTTAGCAGCAAAGGATTACCAAGATCAGCAATAAATATCTATCTAAATCCCATCACGAAATCAGAGTATCCGCGGCTGTTATTACACAACCAGATTAAATATTGTAGATCATTATGCTGTTGTTTTTTGGACGAACAGAGAGGGAAACTTTCTGCGTTTTGCTCCCTAGCCGGCGGGTTAGTCGCACCAGTGATCATCTATGTCGTTTCCCAGCGCAAAACCACATCTCGTCTAATAATAAAACTTTATTTTGAGCTCTTGCTCATACTTTTTCATAATAGATTATATTTTAGGACCTCTGCGACCTTATTGTGGTATTCACGTATTTGAAAATTTGAACATTTACCGTTAGTAATTATTACTCTTCTTCCAGAGCCCTTTTTTAATTAGCCGACTCATTTCTAGTCTACACGCTGGCGAATCGAACGATATGAAATTGGCTCATGCAAATCATGACTACATTCGTCGTATCACAATGAGTGTTCATGGTCGTTGAAACGATTTCGTTTTAAGTGATTAAATAATAATATTATTTAATTCATTGTACAATATTTCTTGGTAGTAAAATATGTACTATAAATTATTCCACGCGTATCTTGTATGTTAATATTTCGTTTATTTGTTTTACGCGTTTTCAATTTAGTATATAAATGCTTTTCATAAACTGTGACCTCCTCCACGGGAGATTGCTCTCTAAATCGAGGGTTACTATTTTTGACCCAAGCCTAAGATGGATAGTTTGACTCTGCCGAAGACATGTGATTAGTAATGTTTCAAGCTGACATTCATCAACTGCTTAATAAATAAACAAATTACATTTAGAATTTTATGTTCTGACGTAACGTCGTGTTTGAATAAATATCTTTGAAAATTCTAATTTTAACATTCTGTCATTTTGCACGAAAAAGTATTGTAAAATTTGTTTATATTACCATTAAAAAACTATTAAGATAATACTTCTAAAGTAATATCGGTATAATTTTTGAGAATTTTAGACAGGTTTTAAATAAGTTTTAAATAAGTAACAATACAAAAATAACATAAGGAATCGTCAGTTGTTAACGCGGTTAGACCAACAGAATGTATGACAATGCGCGAGTATTAATACTATTATTATGTATGTATGTACTTTTGTATTGGGAGAAGAGAGAGGAGATGTCTGATAAGTTCTCATTAGTGAGAGACATCATGGTGCGCTTATATATCATTTTATCAGTGCGAATAAAGCCGGGTATTATTTAAATTCGATGTGTGCACTGGCCGTTGTATTAACTGTGTCCATCCGTACTCTTCGGGTTAATTAAGTCTTATTTATGCGGGGAAGTTTGCTGCCCGATATTCTGCAAAGATAGGGTTATTCGATATATGCTCACTTAGTTGTGTATGTTTTTATATGCATACATTTTTCAATTACACGCTCAGTTTTTCTGTTACTGTCGATGTTTTCACTTGTATAAGTTTACTTGTTATTGAATAATAGCGTAAGAAAAAAATGAATGCGTAGAAAAAGTGGTATGTATAATGGGAGCAATATTTTTTACATTCTCGAATGTTTTTTCAATACAAAATCTATGCGCTTGTAGGTTATTAAACGTTAAATCACCCCAATTTATTAATCTTCAATACAGACAAGACTGTAACTAAAGGGAGGGGGGCCAGGAAATGTAGACCCTTCTCAAAAATATTTGACAATTTACAGTCTTGGGTATGGAAATTAAAATTTTTCCTCATTTGTGAATATTATTTTTATTAGTCTATTTAATATCGGCTGCTTACCATTATTTAGATTGAATATTTGCAATACAGATATAAACAATATATTTAAATAGATAATAAATAGTAAATTTTTAAATTTCGTCATACAAATTTTTTATTTAAAAAATATGTATAATTATTTGAACTATTCTATTAATTATTTTGAAAAAAATTATAGGATAAGTAAAAATCATATTTCATTTGGTCAGCTGTAATGAGCTAAAGAAGAGATATTTTTTCAAAACAGGTCCTGTCAGTCAGCTGTCTTGTTGGTCGTTCTGTCGTTTACCACACTATGATAGTGTTTTTAGAAATGTCATGCTTCATCACTAACCGACCCCCCCAGTGAAAATAAAACAATGATAGCTGCGATTATACATCAAACTCGTTTAACTTAACGATGTGTTACAGTTGTTGTGTCACCTATCTGACATGTGGTAAATTATTATTAATTAAAACAGCGCATTCTTTAGCCTAGTTTTTTTTTTATACCAGTGTAGCCATTATAAACGTATTCTCTGACATAAATATAGATCTGTTAATAAATTATAAGAACTCAAATTGTATTCAACGTTTTCATAATAATTTTGAGAAAAGATTTGTTTGATTTTGTTTAGTAGTATTTATTTTTAGATTTTTGAGTGGTTAAATATTTTTTAGAACTATTTCTTATATCTTATAAGAGTACAAACTTTATTTTTTCAAATAGAAAAATACATGTCTAACTAGTTCATATGATAGAAAATTGTGTAACTGAGAAAACGACTACAACCCTATTGGTACCCTTAAAATAAATAATATTTTAATAGCTAAACAAAATCTCTAAATTGTTATTATTTTAGAAGAAATCTAAATCTAAATAGTCGATCACTAGATCGACCATAAATTGTATATGTGTTTAAGTATAAATATATTACTAATTAAAATATTAAATGGTAAAATATGCGGTTCATAATAAATTAATATTAGTTAATAAAAACTACAATAAAAATTTTTTTTTAAAACACAAAGAAAACCAATTTTTAATGTAATACATAATACTTGTGTTAATTAAACAATATTAATCAATGGCTAACATCTGAGCACTGTTTTTCTTCCTAGTATTTTGTACATTTTTTTCAATTATATGAGTTTTATTTTTATTTTCGATTCTTGAGTAAACTAATAAATAGAATAAATACGTTTTTTTATATAATCTTGCAATATTAGGTCACGATTCTATTAATTACTATAATTTTACAATTTTATTAATTTCATTGTCGAGTTGGAAGTACTAAATTACTAAATACTAAATTGGAAGTACATTTGTTTTGCACACAACTTTTCTATTTTTTAGTTAGTAATATCAACATATAATAATTTAACATTGGTATAGATCACTTTCTTCTATCTGGGAACTCGGATAGAGCTATTTCAAGTCACTCGCAATCATGATGGACATTGCACGTTTTCTTGTTACGCTTCTTTTTTGAAATTTCAACAATATACTCGTGCTAAGTTTAATCAAAATCTTTGGTAACGTTATTTAGTTCATACCCATCATTACTATTCTAAATCGTCTTTACTGATAATAGTTTCGATGTATTTTTTCCCGTGTCTCTCACGATTTTCGCTGTCCTACGCTAACTTTAATCCTTTTTTACCAAGTATTGTATTCAATGTTAGTCAAATATAAATTTTTGAATACATTACATAACTAAATGTATTATAATTTTAATGGAACGAAATATTTTCTGTATTTAGTTCAGTGTAGCTTCTATTTTAAACGATAGAGTATGTCTGGGTAATTGAGAAGAAGGTATTTGAAGTGATATAATTTATGTAAAGCTATTTGGTCTGTCATGTAATAAAAGTAAATAAATGCTGAATGTTGATGTGTTTAAATAAAAAACATTATAAGAAATAATCCCATAATTCTCATGACTCAGTATACTTTTAATATACAAGTTACTTTTGCACATAAAAGGTGTAATTTTGACATAAAGTATCGAAAATTCATGTACAAATATAACATTTTTATTACTATTTGTCAAAATTTCCTTTTACATTGTATGCGTTAAAAATTACCAGTGCGTGTATGTGAAGATTTGGCCATTTTTTTTTTAAGAGTGAATATTCTGTACTTTGTAATTTATAGTAATTAATTGCATAGTTATAGAACATAAAAAAAAATATTGCACGTCGTGATTACCTATGCAACTAACTAAGTGTTATTAGCTTGGTATTACAACTAAAATGGTTTTAAAACATACACCTTCCTCTTGAACTTTTACTGTGGGTCGTTTTTAGATCGTGCGCAACATATAAGATTTATACTGTAACTGGTTCTATATGCGAATATTATAAATTACTTATGCGATAGGTAAATCATATAAACTCGATTTAAAAGTTAATTTTAATTATATGTGTTTTTGTATCGTATTAATGCAACGTAATGATGAATTCTATATTTATTCACTCGAACTTCAGTACGACTTGATGTAAATGTTCTGTTTTTACAAATAAACGTCAATCACGTATGTTTATTCTAATTAAAGAACGATTATACGATTTTCAGGTGGTAGGATATGCACGTTTTCGCCGTGTATCGAGCAAGTGATCCGCACGTGTAAAGTTCTGCAAGACTCCGGATTTATACATCTGAAAACCATAGAATGTCTAGAGAAAGAATATCAAGTGGTGAATCGAACTGTAGTTGTTCCCTCGTTGCCTTCCGATCAAGTAAGTGGCCGTCGAAGATGATCCTATGATCGTGCGTATTACCTTGATGCAGGAAATGATTTTCATGTTGTAAGATGCAGTGTTTTAATAACGCGTCGAAAATTAAAAAATGATATTAAAAAAAGTAATAACGTAGGTATTATGTTGTATGCATTACGGACGGATATACAAATATCTACACACACGAGCACGTGAAGTGCTTGTGAGGGCGTACGTCGCCGCTACGGGTCTCCTTTATTTCATACGCACAGCGAACCGGTACTGAGCCGGCTGGACCGGTCGTCCGGATAATTTGTTTTCGACAAAATCATACAGAACTGGTCCATGTCAAACGTTATAATTTTTATCGAGACCACCTTATTTCCTCGGAGTCGCCGCCGTTCGGTTCTTTATGGGTAAATTGTTCAGATTCCGATGTGTCCCGTACGATCCTCCGTCGCTTCCTCTGGATTTTGTTTATCATACTTCGGCTAATTGATCTTTTAATGGAAACCGCGTGCATCCTAGCACTATTCGTTGATACCATGTGCGCATATGTGGTTATCAAAAGACGACGTGTGCGACGACCATACAATTCTCCATAATAGTTCCCGAAGAATATAATAACGGTAATCAAAATAATATTAATGTTTGAAAGTAATAATTTTAATATGGTAAAGGATGGTAGTCCCCCTACCACACTCTTAATATCGCGTGTAATTTGGTAACTTATTTTTCTAAAAAAATTACTTCAACAGTTTCACTTTTCCTGACACTATGCAATAGAAACCCCGACTGAAAAAATAAGTCGAGAATTAAGCATGCGGTATTCGTGTATAGAGAATTGAATAGTTTATTTTTTAGAAATTAAAATATTACTTTGATATGGTATTATATTATCGAATATTCATTGTAAAAATACGTTTCTATTTTTCTTGTGGTCTATGCATACACGTAATGCACACATTTACAAACGGAAATGGTTCATAGTTTCCTTTTTGTTAACTTTACATCGCGATACTATTTTTTTTATCCGTTCCGTACGTTATGTTTTGGAAGTACTGCTTAAAGTGATCCCCTATCGAAGCATTTGGCTTGTCTTAATTATATACTATTTCCCTTTGGCCATTGAGGAATATCGGCAGCTATTCTGACAGCACAGTAGTATATTACAAGATACAACGATCTAAAACCAGTGAAGCGATTTTTTTTCCTCGAAATCTTTGTTTATTACGACACTATCGTTTTTTTAATTATTGCCCATTTGACATCATTATTATTAACATTTGGACACCATCTATCTGATCACCATATAAACACTATAAATCCCTAACTTAATAACATGGTCTTAGAACTTGTATTTCTATGACAATCGATCGACGCCCCTAACCACCACTGTTTTGATTCTTCGAATGCGGTGCGTTTCGACAAAAAGACATGTGGCTGATTCATGATTACTCGATCATAAACAATATTCAAATTTATTTGTTTAAAGCATTAAATTATTTTCCAAGATTTAAACGAGTAAGCAGCAAACTGATATTAATTTTTCTGCTTCAAATTTTTAAAATCTATATTGTGATTTACTTAACTTAGTTGTTGAACATTTAAGTTCTAATTGTTACGCGTTGAAAAACAGCGAGTTCTTTTTATTATTATTATTTTTTATTGTAAAATAGTTAAAAACGTAATTTTTTTTTATCCAATTGAGAAAATATTATATACTATTTTTGCTACTTGACTTTCTAAAATTTGATATTAGTCGATGACAAACATACTAGTGATCTATTCGAAATAGGATTTCTTATTTCAATAAGTGTACAATTCATGAGCTCATTTTCTTAAGTAATCTGACTTTGACACGTTGTATTATAATAGGATAGTGATAAAAATTCAATTAAATGAAGAATAACGTCTGTTTTAAAAACATATTTATGCACTCGAAAACTGACTGAATATAGTTTTATGTTTTACATTAGCGTTTAAAAGAAAATATTACTTATCAACGTCAAATAACTTGTAGAATTAGAAAAATAAATGTTAAATGCAACTACATTTAGATAGAATTTTTAGGAGAGAACGAGAAATACCGGAAAACGCGGTAAGACTTATTTCCAACTGTCATTTGAATGTCCATATGTACATTAGTGTCGTATTAAGTGTTGAAAACCATTTGATCATATACTCGTAGTATTTTAGAAAATATTGTGTATTTTTACATGAGTAAGAAGCGCTATGACGAAACTAATGATGATGATTTAAAACGTATCCACAATTATGCATCGATGTGTAAATCATCATTATAATAGTTTCCACCGTGTACTTGAACCCTAATTTCTGGTCTTGTCATCAAGTATGTCTCTACGCCGTATTTCCCGTTTAGCATATTAAAAATACGCATTGTTATATAAAATACGCCAAGTCCTTGATGTTTACTCACCTACTCATTATTCATTCTTAAGCGCTCACTGTTCAAGGATTACGATGATGTTTTATTAGCTGCCATCGAGTGTATAGAAACTACAATTATTCATAGGAACACATAGGTTTTTTTTTTCAAATCTTTATGATCATACTTTAATATGTTATTGCATTACTTATAGCTGATTCTTATCGCGGCGTGTCGATTTCATTTTCAGTTTCCAATTTCTATGATCTTCTCTTATGTGCTGCTGGTCGTAATTATTACTGTAGAAATTCACTGTATTTTTATGGACTCCATAAATGTTTACAATATTTTAAACGTATTATATTGTCAAATTTTTATTACAGTCGGCCGCTGACGATTCAAACAGTACTGAAAAAAAATTTGTAGCCTGTGTACCAGATCCTTCTACACGCGGCCATACGGGTTATCTGACTTCGGCCACTTATGTTGGGGTTCATTACCAACAATCACAAACACTATCTCAACCACTAAAAGACGAAGAAGACCAACAGACGACGACAGAATGATGTTAAACAAGACGATTGTTCGATAAAAGTTGTATTGATGAAATGATATTGTTCTCGTTTTATTTTTTTGTTTTACATTTTGATACTTTGACTATACGATTGCGCTGGCGCTATGAAATAAAAAATAAGAAATAAATTGAAAAAAACGTATTGCGTATAGTTCAATAATATCAATATTATCCCAACCATTGCGCCGTTGTTTTTGTAGAAGAAAAACGGTAGCGTTGACAATAGAGGTTTACGATTATTTATGGATCGACATTTATCCTTGCATAAGAAGAAGCGCATTAGCCAATACACCAGACTAGATAAAACTTATGTGCACAGTATTCTCTCTCCAGCGCATGGAGGTCTCGTAATACACAGAATAGGTCATCTGTACACCAAGATCTCTAGGGGTTAAAAATATAAGAACAATGAAGTGAACGTTTCTCATTGTTTTTCATTTATTACATTTACGATATTATTTTTATTCCAGTTTTACCTTTGTCAAGATCATTGGTAATCACTGCGGTTCATAGGAATGGTTTCATTTATTTTTTACCTATGAATATTGTATTATTTAATTTAGTAATAAAATCTATTTAATTGACTGACAACATAGGGATTACTTTTTAAGAACTCTAGCGAGAAAATAAACGTATATGTTATTGCTTAGATCTTTTATTTTGCATAGCGTAGATGTTTAATTTTCAATATATTTTTATAATTATTTGAAAACATATTGACAAGTATGATTTCGGTTAATTTTATTTTTCTCTCATTTTTAAAATTGTTTAAATATAGAGTATATTAGAATAAAAAATATACTTTATACAAACATAAATGACAAACGTCACACGTTGTTCTTATATGCACGACATTTTTTGAAATTTTTTTCTGATCAATGGCAAGCACATCGATTTGTAATAAAATAAAACTATTTTATTTTATATACAAATATATTAGGTTTACAGACACGAAATGATAATAATGCACGTTGTATTTTTTACTTGTGCTAACGAAATTTAATATAGTCGGTATAAAATAATGTATGTCGGATATGATATCGTAGATGAAATGAAAATGAAAATGTATAAGGAAGGAGAGTAAGAAAGATGCGGTGCTATATGTACATATATAGTATGTGCTTTAAATTCAGGGTCATGGGGTTCAACGAGACATGTGAGGTATGTTAAGCTGTGTAGCCTATGGTATATATATAGAGAGAAAGACGGCCGTTGTAGTATTCAGGTTATGAACCGATTGTTTATCAACAACGTTGTTGATTTTCGTATCGATTGAGTATACAAAAGTAATGAAATGTAGTAGAACATGAGACACTATTCCAGTGTGCATCAGTCCAGTGTGGTTGTAAAACTGTTAACTTTATTTGTAGAAAATGTCACTTTTTTAGATTCTTATTTAGTTTTTGTAGAATTCCTCTCATACATTTGGTTTGATTTAGATGGTTAGACTTTTGAGCAAAGTTCGGTAATTAATTTCTAAAGCAGAACGGTAGTTAAAAAAAATAAAAATTAGTTTTTGTGAACAAATTCATTATAATAAATATTCGTGGACCGCTTATTGTCAACCACTGCTTAGGGTTTGATACTGTGTGACCAATATTAACAAGACTGATTTTTTCTTTGATAGATTGAGACTGATTTTTAGCAATTATGGTACGAAATACTTTAAACGTTAACTAAAAAATTGTCTACTCTTGTTCCTAAAAATTATATCAGTAAATCTAATTATAAGATTTACCAAGCTAGTGTTCAAATATAATTATTACGTTTTAAATTCTATATTAATTCTATAAATTATAATTAAATTATGTTGGCCTATTGAAATAAATTCTTAGACCCAGTCATCATCTGGAATTCGGTTAAAAATCTTTACTCATTAATTGTTTATTTGTCGTGAGGTTTTATGTATTCATTATATTCCAATGTTTTATTGTATATAATTTATAAATTACTCTAATACTCAACAATAAAGTATGCATCTTCGATCGAAAATCTATCAAGAAATATATACATAGTTGCAATGCCGGCGCTAGATTTTGCGGGGCCACTATGTTAAGAGGGAGGAGGGGATTGAAGTGCGATATATTCTCTCAATAAAAATGATTATACGATAAAGATAACATTATTTTTCGTTTGTAGGGGTGATAAAAATTTTTCTTTTGTATATCCTTCTTAAAAACAAAACTCTAAACACTATGTGTGAGGCTCCAAAAGCGTGGGAGTACAATAATTTTGAATTGTGTTATTGTTACTGAGTCTCATAGCCAATTCTATGGAGACTTAAGGGATCATAACTGCTTCATAAATTATGAAAATTTATTGCGTTTTTATACGGAATAGTAAAAATTTAATTAGGTGCCATACACAATTTGTTCAAATTGTGCTTATAATGAGTTATTTGACATCTTGTTAGAATGTAATATTCTGGCTCTTTTAAATTTTAATAAATGCAATGTTTTTGGGAGTTTGTTTTGTAGTTTATCTAATGATTCACTCTCTGCTGTATCTCACTACTTATGGCAATGTCTGAGGTTAGTAATTTAGTCCCCGGTTTCTTATCCATTTTTCACTGATAGATCTCTATGTAGTCTTTTTTTTAAGACTGTGGTTTGTTATCGGCCACCAACAGAGTGACTATACGAAGAGCTCGTTCTTTAAATACTCGCACACAGACACCTGTAAATAATCTTATATAAACATACATTTAGTTGTTATATATATATACACGTCTAGGGAGGCGCACACCGCAAGATTGCAAGCACGAAAGGAGCCATTACAACCTTACGTGTATGAGTGCACGTTACAGTAGTGCTTAAGAGGTCAGTGTCACCTATGTGTATTATATTATATGAATACAGCTGGAGAATCGTGGGAGATGGAAATTAGAATATCAGATTCAGGAATAAGAACAAAACAAACTCTTACAGCATATTCGCGATACCATGTGTTGTGGTAGGTGATAGAATAAAATTATGTATGAATGCATGTGTCAAGTATACTTTATACAAATAATAATTTATAAAAACATACATATGTATATAGTATTAGGTAAATTACTTTTTTTTTTATAATATTAACAAACTATTTAACAGATTAGGAGTTAGACTATTTAAAAACTACTCTATGTAAATAGTAATGAAGTTACATCACTTTTGTGATATAAAAGTAAGTTCATTATAATTTAATAACGGCAGTTATTTTTAATGAGATTTCACTTACACTTAACATGAGTAAGTATTTAGGAATTCATAATTCGTGGAATTTTTTACACTTATACTTTTACTTATTTTGAATTGATTATGAGCAAAAAAAGGTCTGAAAATATTTTTGTATAACTATAACATTGCCAATAGAGAGATCACGTGCCCCTGTGCACCCTCTAGATTTGCATCTGATTTTACTATATTAAATAAATTACAAAATAAAAATATTAAACGTGTAATTAATATAAAATTAAAACACAATTTAATTTAATAGTATTATTCTAATCTTTATAATTTTCATTCATTATCTTTAGATATATTAAGGGGAATTTCACAGGTAAAACTTCTGGTCAAGTACAGAAAGATAGAATAATGATAGGACAAAATCTTCACATATAAACGTATACTACCGTTTATATGAATAAATTGCTTATAATAAAGGAACGATTAATTTTTCAAATTACCCTTAATTAATTGAAATTACTTTTCAAGTAGTTTCGTTATCGTAACATATAATTTCTAGTAGATACATATTTAATATATATATATACACAAGGTACAATGATTCATTTATTATGAATCACTTAGTCGAAAAATAATATTGATAATTGAATTGATCTGTGCAAATACAAAATAACTACATCTTTCTTCAAAATTATATTTCATCGGTTCTAAATTAAGATTAAAACGACGAATGTATCTATTAAATATATCAAAAAATTACATTAAATAATTTGAAAAATATAGCATTTTTAAAGTTTACTGGTAGGTAAAGGATACATGTTAAAAATTTCTAGTTTTTACCGCTTCCTTAAATAGAGTTATCTTGTTTTTGCCAAAGCCTAACAATTAAAAAAAATTTGAAATGCTTATTATATTTTCAAGTGTACAGATATTATGGCTATAATAAATGTATTGTACTAGCTCTAATGTATTTCTTTAGTTACGATATAGAGCTTTTTATACTGAAGATATGGTATTAGTTACAATATTTTACAATTTAGTATAACAGATCAATATACTGACAGATGAAGATTAGTTTTAAATAGTTTTTAACTGAATAATCCAATAATATGGTTTCAAAAATTCATAATTATTGTAGTAAAATTAAAGAAAATACCACATTTTTACTTGCATTATTTATTTATTACATGATAAAAATAATAGAATTATATTAGTTTGTAGGAAAAAAAAATGAACAAAGTGTAATTATATAATTAAGATGGATTAATAGTTAATATTTTTTAATATCACTCATATTTAAGTATAATAAATTTAACACATTGTATTATTTCTTATCTAATTTTTATTTGACCGCGTAAACGTCTATTAAATTTGATAATAACCATTTAATTAATGTTGACCAATGGGAATACGCGGAAAAAGTTATTGTCATCGATGAGACGCTGAAAGCGTAAATAATATAACGTCAGTGTTATCAATATGAAGGGATTTTATTTAAAAATTAATAATTTAGCATAGTTGAGTGTGCCTCTCTATTTTAACAAATTAATGAGTAAGTAAATTTTATCATTTTTATCTTATTTCGTATGCATTAACTGGGTTTTTAGTAATAATGTTTTAATTATGTCTGAAAATAATTGATGTCAATTTAAGGTGAGACATATTTCTTCAACATTTTTAATTAGAATAAAATGGAGGATTCATTTCGATGAACAGGTATATTTTTATTATTGATTTTGTTATTATTTAATAGTTTTTATTGGATATTAACGAAACTATCCAAAAATTTAGGCAACATTTTTCTTTGATGATAGAAGTATAAACATGAATTTTGAAAGAAAAAATAATATAAATGGTTTTGTATTGAATTCTTTAAATTAAATGTTGTGTTTTATTTTGCTTATTACCTAATTGTTGCTTTTAACTTAATGCTTTAGACTAGATAGATAACCTAATCTTATGATAGAAAAAGGGACCATTTTAAAATTTAGTTTCTAGTATTAAATAGAGTAATGATTTTTAAAATTTCTCTGTTTGACTAAGTTATGAATAATCCATCTATATTTATTTCAACTAAACACAACAATGTCTATGTAATTATTTAATGTATCAATTCTACTGGAGTCTGAATACTTTTGTTATTATTCTGTACATTTTTGGAATTATTATTATCAACTTGTGTTATTACGATTGGTAGTTATTATAAAAATTAAATTTATTTTATGAAAGTTGTAATTTTCTATTTTACTATCGATAACGTATTAATAATTTAATGTAAACTAAATAGTCATAAAATTGCATAAGCGACCTTTGTCACTGAAAATGTCAAAGAACAGTCGGAAACAGAAACATGTGTCGCGAACTGTAATGTTTTCTAACATGAAACGTGAAAATTTACTTTTCAAGTAAATTTTCTTTGTGGACTCTTATATAAAACAAATGGGAATTATGCTAATGCAAGGGGGTTTACTTCTATATTATTGTTTGTTTTGCCAAGTATATTATGGTATCACATGGAAGCCAACCGTGATGTAGTCTGGTCACGATGACGTCGATCCAGCAGTCGGTAGCAACGGCCATTCGAATAGGTTTGAAGCTTATGCGTTTGTAATTCGTGATATTTTCTTTTATCCTTTCCTTATGCTTGTATAAAAATATATATTATATTAGACTTACAGTGTGTGAGCGATAGAACCTCGACTTCTGTGTGTACATGCATGCCTCATAATTTTCTATAATATTAAGGAAAAATATATATATTTTTCTTTCGACAATAGCTTCTTGGCGTTTTATGGCATTCACTTGAAAAACATAAGAGTATAGCTCATAAATTTCTATTAAAATCGTGCGCTATCGACTAAGTTACTCGATTTATTTTTTATACTACTGTAGTCATTTTTGAAATAGTTTTTTTAAAAAAATCTATAAAGGTAGTAATTTAACAATATGTGGGGAAAAAATTCTTCATTGTAAATAAAATGTATATTTTCAAAGATTTTTTAGGTGTATACGAGATTGATTTTTTTTTAATTTTAATTATTTATATAATAAAAGTTTAATATTTTTAATATTTTTTAGTGTTTTAAATTAATAATATTTTTAATATAGTTTTAATTTTACTTATTTAATTGTTTGTTTACTTTTTTACATTATAAAACTTCCATGAACCGAACAATTATTTTTAAATGTTTACTCAAAATTTTTTTCATCCACCTTTAGAGCGATAGTCACAGTTGTTACTTAAAGTCATTTTCTTAACCTCTGGCTAACTATTTGTGGTCGGCTCTACTTTACAATTTGGCAGATGTTCTTACTGGCTGTCTATCTGACGCTAACTAATTATGGTTGAAAGATCCAGTAAGGGGCAAAGTTTGTGTCAATATTAAAGTTCCCGTGTGATCATATTCATTCGGAAACAAACAGCTAATAGGGCAGTTGAATATCGGCGCTATGGCTGCGATTAAATGATCCACTACGCCACGATCGTGGCGCAGTGGTTCCTATTCTACTACTGTTATATTATAAATTATATTTTTGTACTACTTATATTTATAGAAATATATTACTTATTTCATTTAATCCTGTCCTATATTAAATATTTGTTAAAAATTTCTATAATTTCTGCTCTAACCTTATTGTTAAAGAGAAAATTAAAAAAATATAGGTGTAAAAATTATTAAAAGAGCAAACCAGGTGAACCTTAAATTTCGATAGTAACCTATTGAGTTTATGATTTTCGTTTTTGGTATTTTGCTAGTTGTTAAATTTACAACGACGAACGATCCATTACAGTTTCATTTTTACAATGCGCTTAAAATTAAGCATACGCTAGTGTTAAACATCAAATAATTAACGGTACTCGTATCAAACCTAAAATAAATTTTACGAGTTGTTTTATTATTTAATGGTTTTTGTTGTTGTAGTTGTCGGGGCCATCAGCCACCTAAAATTTTACTTTTATTGTCACTCATAAGTACATTAACCTCTTCACTGTTTTCACCTTAACACTATTAAAGTGTTTAGTTCAGTTTTTTATTTTTGACGTAAAATAATCTTTATAAAATTAGGTTAAAAATACAATACCCGTTATATTAACTGTCGGTAGGTAAATGGTGAACCATTTACAGTATATAAGAATAGTTATATTAAGTAAAAACACAATTTTTATTTTATTTTGTGACTCGAGTTTCTTTTTCTGTTACTTGTACATCTTAACATTATAGTAAACTAATAAGTAATAACAACTTTTAAGCGGCTCCAAACAAGTATTGCACTATGCCAGCCATAATAATAATAATACACAAATATGTATCATTTACATTACATTAAAATGTACAATATATATATATATATTAATATTCAAATAAAAATATTTTATTTACACGATTAAAATAAATTTTTATACTAAAAAAAACCAACAATTTTTAAAAACTAATTGATAAAAAACAAAATTAGTAAACGGGGATCTTTTGTTCAATATCGTATATACATAAAATTATGTAAACAACGTATTTCTAATATTTAAATAATAATAGTAATGATAATAATAATCGTCTATAACAGAGATCACAGGCGCAGCTTGGTGGATTATGAAAGTTTAATAATAATAAGCTAAATAACTGTAATGTAAGAATATTAAAACTATGTCATTTAAAGATGATTAACCTTAAACATCAACAGTATTTCGTTTTTAGTTTCAGTAAACATCTATTTTGCATGTCTTCATATGGTATTAACTCATATCACTCTCTCGGCCATCTGTAAAGTAAAATTTACGATTAAATTATATTAAACTATGCAATCAAATAGTTGTTGAATTTGTTTTGAGGAATTTTCATTTAGAGATTAAAATTTTTTACATTTTAGTTATGTATTTATTAATTTCTATTGTAGTTCAATTTCACTATTGTTTAGAACCTCGCAAATAAAAAACAAAATATGTTCTATATCACCACGCACGACGTACGATCGATGTTTGTTTTTTTTATTGGAGCGAAGATCATTCCAAGTGTAATGATATAGTTTCGAACTACACTCGTCGATAAAACACAAATAGTGATCACCAATAACACATATTACGTCGTGTATAGTACTTCCAAAGTTTGTTACATGTATCTAACTATGTATTATGTGTCAAATAATAGCCAACTGTATGCATAAAAAATGTATATAATCACTGTAACTTAGTATCACTACAACGTTACGTGGTGTATCCACAATAATCTTCGAGGCTTTACGTTAATTTGCATACGCCGTTATCATTATAATATTATTGTAGACGTATAGTATACGGGTTAGATACATGACCTTTATTATAAATGCCTCGCATCTAGTTTTTTACTATACTTTAGGTATTAATAAAATCACTTGTACAGTGACGACTCAAATCATACTCTTAGAACCCACCGAAAGTGCGTGAACGTTTCCCACGTTATACCCGAACGGCATCCGGTGAGTATTTTTCTCTGGACGCGTCCGGATGATATTAAAGACCACCTCTGGCCGGCACATTATTCTTCCTCTTAACCGAAAATTATACAATAATAACATGTACACTAAGATTGTGTACATTGTTTAGATTGTAGAGCTACATAAACGTAAGAAATCGGTCGCCTTTCCGTATGATATAATATTGTACCAGTGCCCTCTACGATGTAGTGGTGCCATAGACTGTTACCTTTACATTACCCACTATTTTAGAAATATACTTCAATTTAACACGATGACAAATGTTTTAACTTTTTGGACTAATTTACTATTATTTTTTTAATTATGCTGATATATACTTTTATTTACAAAAAAAAAAATGCACATTTTTTTAATAATATATTTTATTTTTATTACCGTTTCGGTAGAGTTCCGATTGCGGTCAGACTTAACGTAAAAAATAAAATCAGCGTTTTAAGTTTTAATTAAAAACCGGAGCACGCCCATCGCGTCTATGATAATCTTTTAAACACTATCTGTAATGGGGGTCTTTGTCGGCACACGGTGAGTTTAAAGACTGGATATCCGTTAGACATCTTAGAGCACGTGGTTTAGTACTATTAGGGATGTTCTCATGAAAAACAAATATTTATTGTAGAATTAGGTTTTTATTTAATTGAAAAAAAAAAAATAGTTATAATTGAAAGAAAGAAACCGTAAAATAAAGTCCATCAAACATTAATATTATTGTACTTGTATTTAAATTATCCAATAAAATTTTCCTATAAAATATGTACTGTAAATCAGTAAGCTAGAAAACGCACAAGTGACCATTGCAAATTTTTACAACAACGCGTGAAAAATGAAAAAAGAGTTTACAAATCAACAAAAGAAATATTTTTAAAGACTTCTTAAATATATATATAATATTTTTTGGTTGTAGGCTTGACTCTTTTTCCAGTTTTTTTAGAAAATTTCATGGTGGATAATTGTGCATTTTAATTCTGGCCCACTCGAACTATTTGTAAAACATAAAAAATAAATCTTATAAAAATAATTAAATGTAAAAAATGTTTTACGATATTCGATTGTTTCGAAATAAACTGGCCTTTGCATAATCATTTATATCTTTAACAGTGTTAGAGTGTCATTTATTATTTATATTTCTAGTACATGTATCGCACATATTTCTTATGTTTGACTGTGGTCGGTTTAATTTACATTTAAGAGTAATAAATGCAATTTACACGGACTGGTCGTGCGATATCTTATGAAAAGCGATCCTAAATTATTATTAAAGCAGTCATTTAAAAATCACACTTGGCATTATGGTTAAAAGCAGTTCTACATATTATTTACACCCGCGACGTTATAAAATATATTAATAAAGGTTTAACGAAGTACTGATAATATCGTTGTATTTAATACAACATGATTAGGAATTAAAAATAATGAGGTAAAAATATTATTTTTCTAAAGAGATAATATTATTATTATTTTTTGTTTTAATACGAGGTTTGGGTAGAAAATTTAAATGATTTTTGTGTTTAAAAACAAATATTATTACATATCTAATAGAAATATTTTTATCAATAAAAATTACCTTGAACTGATGTATCAGCAGCCGTGTCTTGGTCAAGTCGCACAATTAATGAAGGCCTGTTAAGTGTTCCAACCGGTGGTGGTTGTAATGGGAATAGTCTATGATGGTCGACCGTTTGGGGCCATGGTGGAAATGGAACTATGTAGTGTGGCGGTGGCTCAACTAGCACTTCATGCACATTTGGCACGTACTGTTCACCAGACCAATCAAATGTAAATGTTGAAGGTTGAGATGCTGAAGTGTTCTGATGTGTTGTTGGTAAATGATAGGAACCACCACTGCCAGGAGTTGGAGGAGTTGGTTGTCCACAATAACCGGTACCGAGCATATCTACGTCAGGTACCTTTTGTGTACCCGAACAGCAATCGGACCACGGTGGACTTGGGTTCCACGTGTCCATCATCATGTCACCAGGATCCATGGCAGCTTTGACTAGCGCTCGGGATCTACCAAGAGAAGTGGCTGATGGTAAAGATAACGCTGTCGCTGTGCATCCACCCGTCTCTGCACCCATCGGGGACACCGGCGAATCAGCCGATTCTTCTGTTTTCATCGTTAATGGCGGTGGTGGAGTTTGTTCCGGCGAATGAAGCGAATAGTCTACTGGTTCTGGTTCTAGCCTATGTCGACCATTAGCATACCGGAAATAACTATCGGGCAATTGATGAAAGTGTTGAGGCTGTTGTGGTTCGGTAGAGTAAGGTGAGCTCTCATGAACATGTTGTAACTGTTGTGGCCTATGCTGTAACGGAGGTTGTTGGTAAGCGTAAACAGGGCCTGAAGAAGTACTCTGAGTTGATGATGTTGGACCGACAGATGGTACCCTTGGAGAAGTCTGTGTGTCAAACTGCATACCGTATTGAAGTTTACTTTGAACCATATAGTAATGGTAAAGCCAACTATTGGATCTCATTACAGCTGCTTCTTGATCCCTACAAAATAAAAAATTTATCATTTATATTATTAAATTTTTTTCGTAATGATAACACTTTTAGAATTAAAAATCGCAATAGTTATGATGCCTTCTATTTGGTTAACTGTTGTAATTAAATACTATTTGGAAACTTGATTAAATCAGTGGTTTTTAAACCAGCTGCTATTCTAGGAGTTTTATTTACACTTGTGGACTTTAAACATTATAGACAGTAGTACTTAATCCGCGAATCATAAATAGATGGGATTGGCAAAAATAAAATTAGAAAATTATTGGTTACATTTTTTTTTTTTTTTGGTGGTAAATGAGTTAAAAATTTGAACATCTAACTTAGTCTAAAGATGCGTACAATACTAAATTATTCAAAAACAAGAAAGTAATTAAATGACGTAGAATTCACGGAGTGAAACACTTGCGGCGCACGTTTTAGGTTTATTCATCTTTACACAAATAGTTTCCAGTATTATTATCTTTGATATCATAATTTAGAATAGCGTCGTGCTTTATGAGTTTAATACCACCCACATTTAGGAATTTTAGAATTATAACAACAATATAATTATAACAGAAACAACGGAGTTTGTGATCGACACGTTGATTCTCTGTATTCATCTCGATACGCTTATTAGAGAGAAATATGACCAAAGGTCATAGTAACGGATAAATAAGCTCTTTAAAGTGTTCTTTGGTCACAGAAAAATTAACCCCAAAGAAATTTGGTCACGATTATGAACGATTTCGGAAGTAGTTCCAACGAGACTATCTCACGATGGTAAAATTACAGGTTGTATTGGATTTTGCATTGACAATTATTTTCCTGCTGAGGTTGTTTTACATACCATTATTAGGATTTATTCATTAAATATTTTCTGAGGTGAACTCAAGTTAGTGATAAATCTGCTTTATTTTACATTAGATCTTCCTGTCATCGAATATGGTTCTATAATATAGGAACCTCATACAGCTTCTGACTTCCAGATGATTGAGTGTGTGCAACGTCGGTTTCTTTTAAGTTAAACATTTCCTGAGAATCCAGAGTTATACCTCTATTTTCACAGTCCTAGATACTAATAGTATCGTTGATTTTAGAAAAAAAGCTAGTTGTACTTTTCTTTCAAAATCATTAGAAGGTAAGGCCGATTCATCAAATTGTATATTAAGCAAGATATAATGTTAATTTTAAAATTCTTAAAACCTTGATAAATTACTTATCAAATTTCTCGATATCACGTCTTACATATACAGCGAATAAAGATTCACCTTTTTCATTTTGTTAATTGTATCTTAATCTTAGTACGAACAATAATCACTTTCATTATTCTTTTTCAAGAAATTATTTTGTTTTTATGAATTAGTCGTCAAGTTGTTACATTTCGTTTTAATGAAAGTATTTTTATATTTAGTATTATATATTTTTTCTTGTTGTATATTGAAAATTAATTTTTTTAATGTATTTAAATTCTGTACATTAACATGTAACGATGCAAATAAATATTTAAAAAAATAAATACTCTAGAATAATTAAATTCGTTTCAACTTTAAAAGTTTCTTCTAAATTGTTTGTGCATTATTGAATAACTATATTTATCCGTTACGTATTCTCCATCATAGTTTGTCTATTCAGTACTAATTATTTTATCAGTCGTATTTTTTTTTTTTTTT